TCTTGCACTATTTTATCTGTTTTATGTCCTATATATATTCATGTTGCTCTGCTGGAGGAGGACTTCAGTTTTTCATCTCCACCGTAGCTGCTGAGCACATGGCGATACAGACTTGAAACTTGAAAATGCACACACACACTTGTCGAGTCAAGCTATCATATAATCATTTAAAACATATAGTCTTATACTCTGATTGCCTTTTGCTCTGTTAAATTGTATTTGTAGTCTTGTATTTGTTTAACAGAGACACATGTTAAGGATTTACATTTCAGGAGGCAAAGGAAGTAAAAGGTGGATTTTAAATGGTTGAGGACGAGGGGGTTTGATGGTTTGATGATGGGATGGAGGAGCAGCTGTTTCCTCTCATGAATATATAGAGAGACTGTGAGCAGAACTTCTTTATCCTCTGAGGATGAAGTGGCTCTGTTCCTGCATTTGAGATCCACTTCACTTGTGCTTGTAATATAACAAAAGACACACTTTGTCCATGAATCATTTATCAGTTTCTCTTAAGAATTTACTCCACAACACTCACGGTGAACCTCCACAAACACACTCACGGTGAACCTCCACAAACACACTCACTGTAAACCTCCACAAACACACTCACGGTGAACCTCCACAAACACACTCACGGTGAACCTCCACAAACACACTCACGGTAAACCTCCACAAACACACTCACTGTAAACCTCCACAAACACACTCACTGTAAACCTCCACAAACACACTCACGGTAAACCTCCACAAACACACTCACTGTAAACCTCCACAAACACACTCACTGTAAACCTCCACAAACACACTCACGGTAAACCTCCACAAACACACTCACTGTAAACCTCCACAAACACACTCACGGTGAACCTCCACAAACACACTCACTGTAAACCTCCACAAACACACTCACTGTAAACCTCCACAAACACACTCACTGTAAACCTCCACAAACACACTCACTGTAAACCTCCACAAACACACTCACTGTAAACCTCCACACACACACTCACGGTGAACCTCCACAAACACACTCACTGTAAACCTCCACACACACACTCACGGTGAACCTCCACACACACACTCACGGTGAACCTCCACAAACACAAAGACATACACACACACACTCACCTGCGGCTCCACGTCCAGGATGGCGATGTGTCCCAGCGTGTGGATCTGCCGGATGGTCTCCAGCCTCGTGCCGTACATGGCGTCCTCGTGGCTGCCGTACTCCAGGTACTCGTTGTTGCTGATGTCCTGCATCATCTGGTCGTGAGACACGAAGAAGTAGTTCTTCCCGTCCTCCTCGTCCTTCTTTGGAGGTCTGGTCGTGTCTGAAGAAAAGCCAGGAGACACAGAAAGGATGTTTTAATGCATTTAAATGGTGCCACACTGGGGTCATGTTTTAGGCTTTTTTAATTTCCGGGATAACTCTGGTTTTGTTAACGCATTTTGGGAAGGGTCTTATCACAGAAAGTCAGACTTTTAAGGACAAAATATCCCAACTAAACGCACTTTTGGATCCCTTGGACGTTACAGCATGCTTGCTATTACTGTATATCTTGCTTTACCTAGAACCATCTAACAAGTAGAGCTATATACCTGGTTATTGATGCTGCATTATGTTTAAAGAAATGCGTCATGCTTAATGATGACATATCATAGTTGGGAAAATAAAAAGCTAGCATATAGTGTTCAGAAAATAATGCAAAACCGTAACCCTTTAATTGTTTGGACTGATAATGATGAACCAAATATCTCAGTAAGAGTGGAAAACAAATGATATATATTATATTTTAAGGCAGTTTCTTTAAGTCTGACCATGCCAACTGCATCAAATCAATGTTGTGTATCATAGAGACATTGATCATGTGACTTACGGGGGATGGGGTAGGCGAATCTGTCGGGGTGTTTGGTGATGAGTGTGTTCTTGATGTGTCTCCTGCCCACTCCATGGGCCCCTGAAACACACACACACACACACACACACACACACACACACACACACACACACACACACACACACACACACACACACACACACACACACACACACACACCCACACACCACACACACACACACCACACACACACACACACACACACACACACACACACACACACACACACACACACACACACACACACACACACACACACACACACACACACACACACACACACACACACACACACACTTAGTAAAAGAGGCACTGAACACACACTCTGTCTCGCTGCCTCTCTGCACAGAACTCACCTAACAGAACGAGGGTTTTCCTCTTGAAGGCAGGGAGCTTCACCACCTCTTCATATGTCACCAGATCTAGTTGGTCGAACACTGGAGGAGAGAGGAAGAGGAGGTGATGAAGAGGAGGAGGTGATGACACACAGCAGGAACTACAGAAACACATCTGGAGACTATGAGCAGAGAGGAGGAAGTACGGTGACTTTTTCAAAAATAAAACTGGATAAAATCACTCTGGAAATACGCCTAATGTGGAATTGACGACAGATTATGATTCCTTTGTTTTGTTAAGAGACCTTGAGTACAAGCGCTGTGTAAACTGATTACTTCTTTGTATTTAATTACCTCTGTACTATGAGATTTAATACATCTGACCAGACGGCAATTAATACTTAAAGTGGACCTATCATGCTATATTTGAATAATATAGTGTAGGACCATACCTATATAAGGCATATTTATACTTTTATTTTTTTAAAATACCAAACAGATCATGCATTTTAGCCATGCCTCATTTCGCTCAATTTGCACTGTTTTAGCAAGGGCTGATTCAGTGAGAACAGCACCATCTAGAGGCCTGGCATATGTACTACAGCGTCTCCAGTGCTTTCGAAAGGCAATGGCCGTGGCTGTCTCCTCCTGATTGGTGGAGTTGGCCCAATAGCCGTAGCGCCACCGTCCTGACGTCAGGACAGTGTTCAAATCTGGATCAGTTTTTATCAGATCCGTTTGCAGCCCCTTTTTTAGAGATTTGGGTATGGAGGAAAATAGAGAGGGTTGTGTTTTCTGACACTTGGTGAGTTCCCTGGAACACCGGGGACACATATTCATGTATAACAGACGTACAAAAGTGCATTTTGCATGATAGGTCCCCTTTAAGTAAATGGTATGACTTTCAGAATATGTAAATGCTGTGTGTGTGTGTGTGTGTGTATGTATGTGTGTGTGTGTGTGTATCACATGTACTGTACACTATGTTCTCAGCTGCGGTAACATAACCCCGGGTGCTGACAAGTGAAATACAATACCCACAATTCACTTGGGCAACAGGAGGCTTTGAAAGAAGATCCTTTACTAAAGTAAAAGTAGAAATGCTAAAGTATAAAAATACTTATTTACAGATAAAATCCTGAAACCTAAATCTTACAGAATAAATGTACTCAAAAGTACTTGTTATGGATCTTTATAATGTTAAATAATGTTGTATTTTGTCAAATTGGACCCAATTTTAAAATACTATCTTGCATGTTTTTAATGATTTAATAACTTTTTCTTCTTTTAATATTATAAGCATTGGGAATATAGATCAAGAATATCCTCTTGACTCTTAAAATGTCCCTTTAAAAGGAATATTTCTTAATATGCAGGCTCCCCGTATAAATACTGTTTTCATGATAAGTACAGCACTGCATCATATAACAACATATTGTGCATGTTTCTATTTAAAATGTTACTAAAAACTGAATTACATATTGATAGTGTATTGAAAAGAACATTATTTGTCACTTAAATGTAATAAGGTTGAAGTAAAACGTAGAATTAAATGGAAATACTCAATTAAAAGTAGAATATTTGAGTAAATATAGTAGTGAATAATTGTTTAACCTGTTCCACTCTGAGCCTGTTTTTCAGGTCTCAGGCTCGAAAATGACATTCCCAGAACAAATGACCATATCTTCCCTTCTAAAAGGGTTAAATTAATAATCTTTGTTCTCAAAGTAATGATAAACCTGTGAGTTGGATGTAGAAGTGTCAGAATCAATATAATGTTTTTTATTTTAAAGAAAATTCAGATTTTACATAGTAAAAAACTGTAAATTATAGTGTCCGTCCAAAAATTATTTTTTACAGATAGTGAAAACTACCCTTGGATGATGGGTTAGTAGACTAAAAGCTTTAGGAATCCAAAGTACAACATATAATAAGTACCCTGTATCAAGATTGATGCAAAACAAGTGAAATTTGACCTTTTTAGAGAGATTTAGCCAAAAACCCCCACTTTTGGGGTCATTTGGGTGGATTTGACCTATCTCTGGCCCCCCTTTGCTCGATTTGGTTGGTTGACATACCCTTGTGACCGTTAGAGCCAATAGAATCGAAGGGGGAGGCCCACACCCACACACGTTGTAAAGAAAAAATGTGGGCGCTTCGCGTGTGGAAAACGAAACCAAAGTGGAGGAATGTCTCCTTCTGGAGTTTGGAAACTAAAACGCAGTTTTATTGCTTATGGATTATCAGAAATAATTTCAAAGAAGGCACAGACACATAGGATGAACCTATGGATTAACTGCAGCATCGTTTTTTTATCGTTTTAATGCCATTGAAGACCACTTTTGACCAAGGTAAGCCATATTTACGTTTTTTTAGCTACTTAGCTCCACATGTGATGATGTACGCTTTCGTTTATAGCGTCGCGAATGTTTATCACTGAGTGTTGAGGTTTTTTACACAGATTCAGTGTCTCCAGGACACCAAAAACGAGTGGTTGGCTGTGCATCTAGGATAAGTAATAAGGGAGTTATGAGTGAGTTTATGTGCCTTTGTCGGTCCCGTTTTTTCGATCGAGGCTAATTCAGAGGCTGAGTGCTAGCAATGTGGGTTTTTTTTGAAAAAAAAAATTAAAAAGATCAGTTAGCTGAGTTTCTTCCCGTTACATGGATATAACACATTCATAGTTTTATTCAATATTAAGATTCCTTAGACGTTGTTTCCTGCAAATGACGCGTTTATCCGCCCGGTACCGGGGGGAAGGTGTGAAACAGGTTAAAGGCTGCGCAGCTGTATGCAATATTTACTTTAATGTCTTCTGTATATTTTTGACCAAACTTGGATTAAAAATAAAATATATTAATTTGAAAACCACGTCACACAATCTCTAAACACACACACACACACACACACACTGATCTACTGGTTTCAGTTTGTCCCAGCCTCCTGTTGTTCAACCACAACAGAAACAAAACTGAAACAGCGGCAGTGACAGCGAGGGTTAATTATAAATACATTATAATATAGATAAAGGAGAAGAGAGGAAGCTGTCACCGTTGTTACTTACATGAGAGAGGCCGTCAGTAGGAGCAAGCAAGAGAGAGATGAACAGGAAGGGGTTACAACAGCAGAATACAATATCACACACACACACACACACACACACACACACACACACACACACACACACACACACACACACACACACACACACACACACACACACACACACACACACACACACACACACACACACACACACACACACACCACACACACACACACACACACACACACACACACACACACACACACACACACACACACACACACACACACACACACACACACACACACACACGTAAAAGTTATGTAAAAAGCACGCATGCACTGAGATCAGCATGAAGTTTTGTGTGCACATACATGTGATTATGGAGTATGTGTGTGTGTGGTTGTGTGTGTGTGTGTGTGTGTACCTGCGTTGTGCTTGGCCAGGTACTTGTCTTTGTACTGCTTCTTCTTCTTTCCAAACCAGGTGCAGCTGGCCTGCTGCTCCTGCTTCGTCTTCTCCATCGCTATACAGGCCACCCTCCTATAACACACAATTTAAATAGGTTGCTTAAAAATCGTAAAAATAAAAACATTAAATACAGATGCAGATACGAAAAATCTCCAAAAATGACCATAAAAACGTGTGTGTGTCAGTGTTTGTGTGAGAGTGTGTTTGGGAATGTGAGTGTGTGTGTTTGTGTGTGCGTTTGTGTGATAGAGTGTGTGTGTGGGAATGTGAGTATGTGTGTCTCTGTTAGTGTGTGTGTCTCTCTGTCTCTGTGTGTGTGTGTGCCTCTGTTATTGTGTGTGTCCTCTCATCACTCCTGCAGCTCAGGCAAAGGTATGAGTCCTGCTGTAGCATTCTTGGTGTTCTCTCTCTCTCTCTGTGTGTGTGTGTGTGTGTGTGTGTGTGTGTGTGTGTGTGTGTGTGTGTCTGTTAGTGTGTGTGTTCTCTCTCACCACTCCTGCAGCTCAGGCAAAGGTATGAGTCCTGCTGTAGCGTTCTTGGTGTGTGTGTGTGTGTGTGTGTGTGTGTGTGTGTGTGTGTGTGTGTGTGTGTGTGTGTGTGTGTGTGTGTGTGTGTGTGTGTGTGTGTGTGTGTTGTGTGTGTGTGTGTGTGTGTGTGTGTGTGTGTGTGTGTGTGTGTGTGTGTGTGTGTGTGTGTGTGTGTGTGTGTGTGTGTGTGTGTGTGTGTCCTCTCTCACCACTCCTGCAGCTCAGGTGAAGGAATGAGTCCTGCTGTAGCGTTCTTGGTGTTCTCCAGCTTGCCCTGCCACCAGTTGTGGTCGTCTTTAGAGATGATCTGGATGATGTCGCCCACCAGGAAGCGAACTCCCGCCTCTTTACACGGGATCAGCTCGTCTTTGGACGGCTCGTACTCAAACTGAGCGCGCACGTAGATCTGGGGAGAAAAGTGCACGTGGAGGGTTGGGTTTCTGGGACTCTACGATATGGGCAAACAATCACAAATTACAATCACAATCACAAAAAGTAAGTGAGAAGGTGAAAGAACGAAACATTTAACAGACAGAAAGATAGGTAAGATGATGAATAAGGAATACAAATAAACAATTCTAAAATGTAAACGTCTCAAAATAAAACAGCATTCAAAAAGTAGAAAAATACAGCACACACATCTATCAGTCCTTGGACCCTTAGAGAGTAAAACTCCCCCCAAAATGGACAGATGTTCAATTGATACCGGGTGTATAGCTTACATTACATAATAAATGACCATATATGATAGACAGAAAGATAGGTATGATGATGAATAAGGGCTGTTGTAGATTTAATAAAAAGTACAAAGCTCTGGGAGGGGTTAATACTCTGAGAAACCTGGATTTTAAACATTTAAGCTTAAATAAACGTGATTATTTTCTAAGAGAAATGTCATAAATGAACTGGTAAAAATCTCATAAATTACGTGGAAAAAAACTCATAAATTACGTGGAAAAAAACTCATAAATTATGTGGAAAAAAACTCATAAAATACTTGGAAAAAAACTCATAAATTACGTGGAAAAAAACTTATAAATTACGTGGAAAAAAACTCATAAATTACATGGAAAAAAACTCATAAATTACTTGGAAGAAAACTCATAAATTACGTGGAAAAAAACTCATAAATTACGTGGAAAAAAACTCATAAATTACGTGGAAAAAAACTCATAAATTAGGTGGAAAAAAACTCATAAATTACGTGGAAAAAAACTCATAAAATACTTGAATATTCTCTGACATTATGAAGTTGTACGTTAATGAAAGAAAAGTAAACATTTAGGATAAATAACTGATATTCTCTGAGGTTAATAAGAGAATACTAGATCAATATGGACAGATGTTCAATAGATATCGGGTGTATTGATTACATAACATAATAAAAAGACCATATAATAATCCATATGACCAAAAATAAGTGTGTGTCGACTCAATGAAGGTATAGAGAAGGTGAAAGAAAGAGACATTTGACAGACAGAAAGAAGGGTAAGATGATGAATAAGGGCTATTGTAGATTAAATAAAAGATAAGATGCTCTTCATTGATCCTAATTTGGGAAATGTTTGCATTGCAGCTGCATCAAAAACACATAAGTAGACATTTAAATAGTAGAAATAAACAATTCTAACATTTAAACATCTTAAAATAGAAATAAAATAGCATTAAAAAAGTTGAAAATATACAAGTTGAGATACCAAAAAGAAAAGTGCACGTGTAGGGTTGGGTTTCTGGGATTCTACGATACGGGCAAACAATCAGAAATGTCATTTATAAGGCCCAACATGACAAATACAAAAATACAATCTGTACATGAAATTCTTACGTTTTTCATGTAAATTAACAAATAGATTCTCATTGAATATCCACGTTTTTTTCCTTGTACATTTTGAGTTTTTAACCCACAGTCCAAACATCATCATAAGTATTTTGATTTTAGCGTGTTTTTGTTTCATGCATGTGCGTTTCTAGAGTTTTATTTGTTTGTTTTAATCTAAAAACAAAATAAATATAATCGCTTTTGGTCTGATTTTTTCAATCTTTCCCCCCTTTAAATGGCTTTAAATGGCTACAGTGGTTAGATAGTGTACTTTTGCACATCAGGTAGAAGTGTAGTGATCATACACTGAATATATAAAGGTAGTAACAAGCAGCTCTCTCTCTGGGGCTGTTTCTCAATCTCGAGGAAACTGGCTTCCAAGCCAATATTTCAAGGATGCTACGACATCAAGTGGCGCAGCAGGACCGTTCCAATGTCCAGCATACTTGGAATTCTACCGAGGCCGTGTCCTTGGTTTGGGGAAAATGTTGAGGCTGCACATAGGTAGACTTTGCGTCCTTAAAATCCCCACAATGCTTTTGCGCACGGACCAATTTCCCCAAATCTGTGGCGGAAGATGTAAGGCGGGGCCTCTCATATGACGCACACTTGCTAGCCTGTTCCACTCTTCGTTTTCCGAATGCCAGGAAGTATTCTTGCCTAGCTTCTGAAGGAAATGACTCGGAAGACATGTGCTACCAAGCAAGCGTACTCGCGATTGAGAAACACCCTGGGTTTCTGTTTCCAGGGAGAGGTTTTCGCCAGAGATTAATGAGCCTCTCGAAACTCGGGTGATTACGGCACAGGCATTGTTTACGAGTCCAAAACTACTTTAATATCCTCCTGTTTTATTCATAATCTGTGAGTAAACTGGTGGAAGTGTTGGTCATTTTCTTACAGGGGGATGGGAGGGGCTGTCTCTTACCTTCACAGACAATTTCTCCTTGATTGGAGGTCTGGATACAATCTAGGATTTGAAAGCATCACATATATCATGCAGTAAACAGCAGTATCGGGGCTGAGGGGTGTGATGGTGGGAGACAGGAGAACGAGGGAGGAAGTACTTTTTTACACTTTGTTAATACTTGGTTGTGGTCGATTAGTGAAATGACCGGGAAGTGGCAGCAATTAAGAGCCGTTTAAATACAGTGCAGGTGCATTGATGACGTATTTTTTCTAGAGACCCTGAAGGCAGCAGCTTCCTCTTTCCATCTTTCTTCTAACTTTTGTAATACTTATTACTTATACTACTAATTTGGTTAGGCTATAAGGCACGGTCACATGACTTCACGTCACCACCACTAAGCTAAAGGTGGCTAATGTTGGGCTATGAAGGAACTACAGCACGGTCACATGACTTCACGTCACCACCGCTAAGCTAAAGGTGGCTAATGTTGGGCTATGAAGGAACTACAGCACGGTCACATGACTTCACGTCACCACCGCTAAGCTAAAGGTGGCTAATGTTGGGCTATAAAGGAACTACAGCACGGTCACATGGCTTCACGTCACCACCGCTAAGCTAAAGGTGGCTAATGTTGGGCTATAAAGGAACTACAGCACGGTCACATGACTTCACGTCACCACCGCTAAGCTAAAGGTGGCTAATGTTGGGCTATAAAGGAACTACAGCACGGTCACATGACTTCACATCACCACCGCTAAGCTAAAGGTGGCTAATGTTGGGCTATAAAGTTACTACAGCACGGTCACATGACTTCACGTCACCACCGCTAAGCTAAAGGTGGCTAATGTTGGGCTATAAAGGAACTACAGCACGGTCACATGACTTCACATCACCACCGCTAAGCTAAAGGTGGCTAATGTTGGGCTATAAAGGAACTACAGCACGGTCACATGGCTTCACGTCACCACGGCTAAGCTAAAGGTGGCTAATGTTGGGCTATAAAGGAACTACAGCACGGTCACATGACTTCACATCACCACCGCTAAGCTAAAGGTGGCTAATGTTGGGCTATAAAGGAACTACAGCACGGTCACATGACTTCACATCACCACCGCTAAGCTAAAGGTGGCTAATGTTGGGCTATAAAGGAACTACAGCACGGTCACATGGCTTCACGTCACCACCGCTAAGCTAAAGGTGGCTAATGTTGGGCTATAAAGGAACTACAGCACGGTCACATGACTTCACGTCACCACCGCTAAGCTAAAGGTGGCTAATGTTGGGCGTGATGATGTTTAGTTGTCTCATTTAGACACTTGTTCAAATCTAACTCTGCAGGCTTGTGTAGTGAGAGGCTTTGTTGTGGACTCTACTGCCCTCTGCTGCTGGTAAAATGTCATTAATGCCACATTAAAAGAGTGATTTTAGGGGAGTAATGACATTTAATCTCATAGGAAATGAATGCTACATGGGAGAGGAGGGTTCACACACATTAAGACATGGTGATGGGATGACAGTTATGGAGGACACACATGTTTAGTGATTTTTTTATCTGACTGGGGATCAGTTTGGGGGATGAGTTTTAGACTCTGCAGGGTTAAACAATGCCTGTGCCGTAATAACACACATACAGATATAAATGAAGGAAGTTTAAGCATAAGGGTCACTCATTTTGATTCATGGTATAATGTTAATATTATTGTAAGAAGAAGAGCTCCTAAATGTTATGAATGTTACCTTCTTGTAATTCTTTTTGGGTCATTTGTCAAATAAATGATTGCAGATTTACTTATTTAAGGTCTGAGTGTATTCCACCTATTTTTCTCGTAAATATGCAATTTGTTCCCCCTTAATCTCATAGAAATGTCAAATGTATAAGATTTTTTCTTAGTTAATTACCATATAAAACCAGGATATTCAAACTACTTTCTTTTCCATTTGTAAGATTTTTTTTCTTGTAAATAAACCATTTTAATCTGAAGTTTTTGTTTATAAATGTGTGCATTTTTCTTAGTAAATAAAAATCTTAAATCTGGTAAATTCAGATTTTTTCTGTGACTATAACCCCCGTTCCCAGGCTCTGTAAATGCATTTATTTTTGACCTACTATGGCCCTTTTACACCATCATACATTGTGGTAAATGAATCTAAGTATTACTGATGCGTTTAGTGAGGCAGAGAGAGGGTTAAGGATAATAAACACGTATTAATGTCTAAAGGGAGGGATATTAAAGGAGCTATGAGTGTTATTCACCTGTCGACCTTTGGGCGTGATGGTGGACGGAAGATCCTGTGGAGGAAAACCATCGATGACAGAGAGACAGGTTAAAGACACAGCTTAATACACAACAATTCAGACATCATTCTGAGAAACCATGCATGCACATTCAACTGCAGTTTATACAGAAGTCCTGAGAAGCAAGTGGGGAAAATACATTCTCTGGATTCTTTTTCCAAGTCTGTGTTTAAGATTAAAAAGCTTTGCCAAGATAATCCTAATCATGTTTCATCTGTGGAAAAAGGTGGCGAAAGAAAGTCAATATTAAGCGTTTGTTGCAGTAATACTGATTGGCATCCCTTTAGCACAATGCTAACGGCAGATTAACGCACATAGCATAATGCTGCATCACTTGTTCACAGACCATATGTACAGTACCTTGTGTTCAGAGAGCATAGAGAAACTAACCTGGAGGAAAACATGAATGCTTTTAGTATTTAACACATGCAGAGGTTGTGCACTAGATATATGTAATATAATATATCCTAATGAGGCCAACATGTCAGCAGTGTCAATAAGTGAATCCTACAGTATGACATCTATTTATTTACACATCCATTTACAGCTCACGAGCCTATAGTAAACTCTACTTAATGTAAATAATATCCTGCTTTATATCGTGTCTTAACTTCAGCTGGAAGTCAACCAAAAGGCACTCCTGCTGCTGCAGAACAAAATGGGGGGGGGGGGGGGGGGGGGGGGTGGTTACATTCAATAGACCTGCTGAACTTTTATGGTTTTACCTGGAGGTTGCAGGTACCGGATACTTTTGCAAACTTCCAGTGTCTTCTATGTTTAAAATCTGAAGTTGACAATATCTTTAAACTCCATTAAAGTATATAAGATTAAAAAAAAGCCCTTCAATAGTGTTTTATTGTCAGAGTTTATAGATTTTTTTATCTTCAAGGCCTACTGTATATTCTCTACTTTTTAATGCTGTTTTATTTCTATTTTGAGATGTTAAAATTCTTGAATTGTTTATTTCTACTTTTTCATTTCTACTAATGTGCAATGCCTTGTTTTGTTGTTTTTTATGCTGCTGCAACGCAAACATTTCCCAAATTGGGATCAATAAAGTACCTCTTATCTTATCTTAAAGATCAGACTTGGAAAAATATGATCCAGAAAATGTTTTGTATTCTAGTTGCTTCTCAGGGCTTCCATCGTACCAGCTTCTGCTATTGCAAAAAAAACAACAAGAGCAAGAGAAAGGGAAGTGTAAAAGCATTCAGGGTGATTCTCTCCTGTTGAAGCAGATCTGGAGCAAGCACAGAGCAAGAGAAGCAGCTTCTGAGTCTCTGAGAGGTGCAGGATCAGTGTGAGGCACAGCAGGGGGCCGGAGTGTGTGCCTGTGTCTGTGTGTGTTAGCATGTGGCTAACAGCACACAGCAGGCTTCATGTGCACACCAATTTATGAACTGAGATATCGGACACATTCAGCTCAAACATAGGCGTAGAGAAAGACTCGGGGGATACGGTACGACCTGCGTAATGCTAATGTAACGATCACAAGTCATATTTCAACAGATAAAAACACGACCCATTATATACATATAAAATATCGTGACACATCAGCGGGACAGATGTACGACTTTGTACTAGGGTTATTGTATGTAAATAAATATACAAATACATAGCTGGTAGAGGTGGGTAATATTCTGAGAAAAAACTATTTTTATCCGTGATTTAAGTCGTAAATGTACAGGGTAATAAAAAACATTATTTGTGGAAAAATCACAAAATTATAAGAGGAAAAAAAACTGAAATTTTATTTGTAAATTTCCATTCTTGCTTTTTGTAGATTTCCAACTTAAATCTTTAAGTAAATCCACATTTTTTTCACATAAATTTGTGATTATTTTTAAAGCGTACGTTTACCATCTTAATCTCAGAGACATTTCCAATTTGTACGATTTTTCCTAGTAAAATTACCACAAAAAGATTACTCAAGCTATATTCTCTTATATTTGTACATGTTTTTCATGTACATTAATCTCTTAGAATATATACGTTTTTTTCTAGTACATTTTACATTTTCTTTCATGTACATGTATGACTTTAATTTTGGAAAATCCAGAGTTTTTCTCATAGTATAACCCAGTCACACAGCTCTAAAATGCATTGACCTACAACAGCCCTAATACACCGTCACAGGGGGAGAAAAGGATTTGGTTCTGTTTTTGTGTTTTTCTTCTCTGGAGGGTGGGATGGGGGTCCTTACCAAGATAGAACTGTTAATGCTGGAGTGGCCGTTTGCAGGGGACTGTCTGGAAGTGTTGGGGGACTCTTTCTGAAATAAGACACACAGGTCAGCAACACACACACACACACTCAGAGTCACACACACACACACACACACACACACTCAGAGTCACACACACACACACACACACACACACTCAGAGTCACACACACACACACACACACACACACACTCAGAGTCACACACACACACACACACACTCACACACACAGAGTCACACACACACACACACACACACTCAGAGTCACACACACACACTCAGAGTCACACACACACACACACACTCAGAGTCACACACACTCACTCAGAGACACACACATACACACACACTCAGAGTCACACACACACACAGAGTCACTCAGAGTCACACAGAGTCACACACACACACACACACACTCAGAGTCACACACACACACACACACTCAGAGCCACACACACACACACACACTCAGAGACACACACACACACACACACACACACACACACACACACACACACACACACACACACACACACACACACACACACACACACACACACACACACACACACACACACACACACACACACACACCACACACACACACACACACACACACACACACACACACACACACACACACACACACACACACACACACACACACACACACACACACACACACACACACACACACACACTTCTGGGTACTTCCCGGAGGCGAGTGATGTAATGAAATGCGTCAACAAGAAACTGAAGTCATATCAGCCTGCAGGTCCTCACATCACCACATGGGGGCGCTACACTAACATAGACACTCCTAATGTGTGTGTGTGTGTGTGTGTACAGTGTGTGTGTGTGTATGTTGCAGTGATGGAGGAAGTATTCAGATCCTTTACATAAGTAAAAGTACTTATTCCACACCGTAGAAATACTCCATTAAAGGTTAAAACCCTGCATTACTTTGGTAAATGTTTGCAAGTATAATCAGAAAAATGCACCTATATAAATACAATATCATGAAAAATGTGAAATCCTTCATATTTTCAAAGCCAAACAGGGACAGAAAGCAGAAGAAATGCCCTCTTAAGTATACATTACAGTCAGAAATGATGAGTAAACGGAGCTTCTGAACAACTGAAAATCCAGAAAGTGAATGATCTAATCACTCTTATACATGATTTGATCATTCAAAGTCCTTCACAGAGTTAAACGTCTCTGTCTTGTAGCTGCTGTGGTTTGCTGTCACTGAGTTTCAGCCTAAATAAAGAAACCCACAATAACAAACTGGTTTTAGAATCTGTGCAACAGTTTCCTATGTCCTCAGCGCCAGATTGCGTTACTCCTCTCTGTCCCAAAATGCCTCTGACATCTGCTGGCTTGTCTCTTTTAACTTTGTCCACGTCCAGAGCAGTTTAACCTTATTTACTGAACTCATGGCTTTATGTTGCTCTGTGTGTGTGTGTGTGTGTGTGTGTGTGTGTGTGTGTGTGTGTGTGTGTGTGTGTGTGTGTGTGTGTGTGTGTGTGTGTGTGTGTGTGTGTGTGTGTGTGTGTGTGTGTGTGTGTGTGTGTGTGTGTGTGTGTGTGTGTGTGTGTAATCTAAACTAACAGAAACACCTTGCACAACAACAGCCCTGCAGGAAATAGACATTTTGCATCCGGTATCTTGGTTGTGAAATTGGTGTGCTGAATATCTGACCAAGCCCCAGCAAATACAGCAAAACACACACCACACACACACACACACAGCATATTAGTGTTATACACACACACACAAACACACTCAGTAACCAGATGAGGAGCTTTTACAACCAGCAGGGAAGAGGAAGAGGAGGAAGATGTTACCTCACACGGGGAGCCCATGGTCCGGTAACTTGGCACTATTTTAAACGTGATGCTGCCTCGCATTTCCCTCTGTGGACACACACACACACACACACACACACACACACACAAACACACACACACACACATTGCTATTGTTAATATGTTGTATGTTTAGCATTTGACATTTCACTAAAGTTTATACAAACACATTTAATATTAAAGGTCCCATGTCATGCTTTTCTGGTTATTACCCGTCCCCTTGTGTGTTATGAAGGTTTCTCTGCATGTAAACGGTCTGCAGAGTCACAAACCCTCAAAGTACACCCTGTAGCGAGTAAAACTCTAACACAGAAAAGACCTGTCTATGCTGCCCCAGAACGCCTCGTTGGACATTTCTCTTTTTCCATTGTTTACTTCCTGGGTATAGTGACGTATTTCGGGTACGCTACGTTACGTCACTCCGCGTTACGTTACGTCACTCCGCGGAGCCGTTACGTTTGGACCAATCCACGGATTTCCTCACACACACACACACTCGGTGGGACGTTGCGAGGCTCGCTGCTGCGAGGAGCGGGACACTGAGCTGGCTCACTGGTGTGGGGTCGGAGAGACACCGCGGAACTCAGCCTGGGCACACACACAAACTCCCAGCCAGGCTGCGGGTGTGTGTGTGTGTGTGTGTGTGTGTGCCCAGGCTGAGTTCCGCGGTGTCTCGCTGTCTCGCAGACGGCCACTGGGCTCACAGGGAGGGGGGGGCAGGAGCTCCAACAAGGCGTGTAGGACAGAGAGTGAATACACATTAGGGCTGTGCAATTAATCGTATTTTAATCGCAATTACGATTTTGGCCTGCCACAATTACGAAAACAACATAATCGAATAAAACAATTATTTTGCTTTGCTAGGTTGTGACAGTGCACTACAACATATTTGATCTAATTAATTTTGGTCTCATTTATTTGTATTTATCATATTTATATATGTTTAGTAGCTTGGGGAAGTGCGCTCCAAAATATTTGTTGATCTTGTTTATTGGTATTTATTATTTTGATATTATTTATTTAAATGTATCATTTATTTTATTTATTTTTGTATTGGTTTTTCAGTTGAATTATACGTTCAGGGAAATCAATAGTTAAAAAGATACTGTTCAAATTATTATTTGTATTTGTTTTAAAGTTCAATAAATGGATGTTTTCAAAGTCAATGAATAATCGTATTTAATAATCGTGATATCAATTATTGACCCAAATAATCGTGATTATGATTTTTGCCATAATTGCACAGCCCTAATACACATACTATACAGAGATGCTGTATGAGAAACCAATGTGAGTTTGGAAAATTGCACAATATACATTTATTTTAGTAGACCTCAACAATGGAATTATGATCAGTAGAAATGGCCATGACATGGGACCTTTAAGTATCAAGCAGCAACCTCCATAACCAAGTCTAATAAAAATGACTTAAACCTGCAGTTTCTCTAACATCCAGATTATATAGAAGTCTATGAGAAAATGTTCTTATGTTCTCTATTGATTCATACCCTCAGTAAACATGTTCCTGGTGACTTTTTGGTCTCAATCTGTAGTTTCAATTCTTCTCCAGCAGAGCATGATGTTCATTTAGAATATTATGCTCTAATTGAGTGAAAAGGAGACCTTATAATTTATTTAAGATGCGGCTAACTGTGATGAACTCAACCCTTTCACCGTGTGTGTAAACTTCATGAAAGGTAATTACAACATTGTGGTCTCTTAAAAATGTTTTATGCAGCTTTCTGTTGTCATAAAAGACACGAAGAACACGTCATCTTTTTTGGAAATACATTTTGTTGTTAGCATACACTAGCTTAGAATAGCATGCTAATGATTTGCTAACTCAAAGGCTAAAAGTGTTCCAAATACAAAACAAAAAACTACATTTCCCATAATTCCCACTTTTGTATTTAAGTCAATCTTGATGAAAAACAGTCACGTGTCTTGTGTATGTTGACATTGTACAAGACAAAATATCACAGTTATTGTGAATTACTGATGCACCTTGCTAACCAAGCTTCTTATAGTTAGCATTAGCTTGTAACTTGCTCCTTTGTCTGCAAACCTCCTGTCCAAATATGGTCACTTCTGGCTCCAAAAAAAACAAGATAATGGCCACAAAAATTCCAAACTCGAGGCTTCAAACCAATGGTTGAAGTTGTGATGTGGTGACTACATCCACTTTTTTACAGTCTATGACACACACACACAAACACACACCCACACACCCACACACACTCTCTCACCAGCATCTTCTGCAGCTGCTCCACAGTCTGGTTGGCCACACTGATGCTGTTGATCTCTCTGATCTCGTCTCCTACGTGCAGCGTTCCTGGAAGAAAGGAGGGAATAAAGTGGAATCAACCCTTTGTCCTCATCAGCAGAGGTGCGAAGTAATGGAGTACAAATACTTCGTTACTGTACTTAAGTACATTTTTCTGGTATCAGACTTCTTACATTTCTAACCCAAATACCTGTACTTTCTACTTCTTACATGTTGAACACAAATACCTGTACTTTCTACTTCTTACATGTTGAACACAAATACCTGTACTTTCTACTTCTTACATGTTGAACACAAATACCTGTACTTTCTACTTCTTACATGTTGAACACAAGTACCTGTACTTTCTACTTCTTACATTTTGAACACAAATACCTGTACTTTCTACTTCTTACATGTTGAACACAAATACCTGTACTTTCTACTTCTTACATGTTGAACACAAATACCTGTACTTTCTACTTCTTACATGTTGAACACAAATACCTGTACTTTCTACTTCTTACATGTTGAACACAAGTACCTGTACTTTCTACTTCTTACATTTTGAACACAAATACCTGTACTTTCTACTTCTTACATGTTGAACCCAAATACCTGTACTTTTTACTTCTCACATGTTGAACTCAAATACCTGTACTTTCTACTTCTTACATGTTGAACACAAATACCTGTACTTTCTACTTCTTACATGTTGAACACAAATACCTGTACTTTTTACTTCTCACATGTTGAACTCAAATACCTGTACTTTCTACTTCTTACATGTTGAACACAAATACCTGTACTTTCTACTTCTCACATTTCCCAAACAGGCTGGTTCCTTTAGTTTGAATGTGTGTTTGGTGGCGTGATCATTATTATTTAGAGTCATTGCGTGCCTATTGATTTGAACACGATCCGTGTATCCATCATTTCCTGGTCTTCTCTAAAGAAGAGGGACCAATGAAAACGTTGTCATGTTGCCGTTGTTCAGCATGGAAACATTCATTAGCTAACAATGACATTATTGTTCTATTAATCTAAAGGGAGGTCAGGTACTCTTTAAAACAGCTGCTAGTTATGGGTACTTTTTACTGAAGTACATTTCAAAGCCCTCTTTACTTTTACTTGAGTAAAGAAGTTTAGTCAGTACTTCTACTTTTACCAGAGTATCTTTAAACACGAGTATATGTACTTCTACTTGAGTAAAGGATGTGTGTACTTGTTCCCTCTCTCCTCATTAAACAGCCTCTCTGTATCTCATTAGCCTCTGCTGCTCCTTTTCCAATCACAACTGCAGCAGTAGAGAAAAGCCTGATTTGTAACGGAGGTGGCTTTCCAATTAGTGCGTGCTGACTCAGTGGGGGGGGCGGGGGGGGCTAATTAGCTGTGAGCTACAGTAGAGAGAGAGTTAGCTTCAAACAGAGCAGGGACTAACAAGCTGCTGAATATCTGACAACGTGCACACCTGTACCGCTGCTTAAGGGAAGATGGAGAGGAGTTTTAATTGTGTAAATTACGACCATCTGAAAGTGTCTTTTCCTTCTGCTCCTTTTACATTCATAACATGATCATTTCTGCAGACTAAGGCCCATGTTTTGAAGTATGATGATTCATCCATTTTAGAATGTAAACCCTTTAAATGCCAGGGTCCTCTAACAATGCAACATACAATAAAAACTAAAAAAACACACCAGAACAACAAAAAAGAGCAACACATCTGAAAGTTAGAAATAAATATAAATTAAATGCCATTTTAATAAATACAAATAAATAAATATTTAAAACAATTAAATAAGAATACAATAAATATCAGGTGGAAAATAGAAAAACACATTCAACCAGTGTTCCAGATGTTAAGCCCCACAATATTATGCAATAACTCCTATTAGACCAAACATTTAGGTTCAATGGGTTTCAATGGAGGACATGCTGGAGACTTTAAGGGCTGAGGTTTAATTTACAGAACACTCACAATCTTGCACAACTCAAAGGGGACCTATCATCACCTATTTGTACGTCTTGTATACATGAATATGTGTCCCCGGTGTTCCAGGGAACTCACCAAGTGTCAGAAAACACAACCCTCTCTATTTTCCTCCATACCCAAATCTCTAAAAAAGGGGCTGCAACGGATCTGATAAAAACTGATCCAGATTTGAACACTGTCCTGACGTCAGGACGGTGGCGCTACGGCTATTGGGCCAACTCCACCAATCAGGAGGAGACAGCCACGGCTATTGCCGTTCGAAAGCACTGGAGACGCTGTAGTACATATGCCAGGCCTGTAGATGGTGCTGTTCTCACTGAATCAGCCCTTGCTAAAACAGATCTAAAAAATGTCAAATTGAGCAAAATGAGGCATGGCTAAAATGCATGATCTGTTTGGTATTTTGAAAAAAAAAAAGTATAAATATGCCTTATATAGGTATGGTCCTACACTATATTATTCAAATATAGCATGATAGGTCAATATGCTTTACAACAGCCAAGCAAACATGATCTGAACATAAAAACAGATGAAGCCAAACATGTCCCTCGTGAAGCATAATTATCACCATGTTTAATAGATATGTTTGTAAGAGCCTACCTTGTCTGTGGATCATCCCTCCGTGCATTATCCTCGCCACGATGCAATGATTCGACTCATTCATCTTCAGCGTGATGCCCTGTAGGAACACACACACACACACACACACACACACACGCACGCACACACAAAGGTTAGTGGAGTACAAATACTTTGTTTCTGTACTTAAGTACATTTATCTGGTATCAGTACTTTACTCCACTACTTATTTCTCTGACCACTTTTAACTTGTGGAGGTTTACCGTCAGTGTGTGTGTGAAGGTTTACCGTCAGTGTGTGTGTGAAGGTTTACCGTCAGTGTGTGTGTGAAGGTTTACCGTCAGTGTGTGTGTGTGAAGGTTTACCGTCAGTGTGTGTGTGGGGAGGTTTACCGTCAGTGTGTGTGTGAAGGTTTATCGTCAGTGTGTGTGTGTGAAGGTTTACCGTCAGTGTGTGTGTGGGGAGGTTTACCGTCAGTGTGTGTGTGAAGGTTTACCGTCAGTGTGTGTGTGGAGGTTTACCGTCAGTGTGTGTGTGAAGGTTTACCGTGAGTGTGTGTGTGAAGGTTTACCGTCAGTGTGTGTGTGGGGAGGTTTACCGTCAGTGTGTGTGTGAAGGTTTACCGTCAGTGTGTGTGTGAAGGTTTACCGTCAGTGTGTGTGTGAAGGTTTACCGTCAGTGTGTGTGTGAAGGTTTACCGTCAGTGTGTGTGTGAAGGTTTACCGTCAGTGTGTGTGTGGGGAGGTTTACCGTCAGTGTGTGTGTGAAGGTTTACCGTCAGTGTGTGTGTGGAGGTTTACCGTCAGTGTGTGTGTGAAGGTTTACCGTCAGTGTGTGTGTGAAGGTTTACCGTCAGTGTGTGTGTGAAGGTTTACCGTCAGTGTGTGTGTGTGAAGGTTTACCGTGAGTGTGTGTGTGGGGAGGTTAACATGTAGTAAACATGTGATGTGTGTGTACCATGGGCTCGTCTGTGTTCTTCTGGAACTGCACCAGACGGACTCTGGTGACGTTCTCCAGGTCCATGTCTCCGTTGTTGCTCTCAGGTGATTCTCCGTTCAGGTAGGGCGAGGTGGGGGGGGGCGTCACCCTCAGAGCCTCGTCGCTGTACACCTCGTGGGCCACAACATCGTGGGCCTGCAGCAGCGCCTACACACACATACACACAGTTTCAAGATGATTAGACAGGTGCAAAGAATGGTGTCTGATCCCACCCACATACTCCACCCAGAATTCCAGCTCCTCTCTTCTGGTAGGAGAGGGTTCCCAAAATCAGGCTGAACCGATATAAGCACTCATTCCTGCCTCTGTCCAGTAAGCTTCTCAACACTCACATGTAATGTAATATACTTTTAAATGTTGGCCATGAGGGTTGTGCAACAGGTCTCCATTGTCAGTCTGTGTATTGTGTTTGTTCAAACGGTGCATGAGTGATGATATGTGTATGTATTTTAATGTTTAATATGTTTGTATATGTACATGTATGCAGAACTGCAGGACAGAGCACAGAACTCATTTCCTTACAGGGACAATAAAGTACATCGTATCGTATACGTTTCAAGACAAGGCAAGTTTATTTATACAGACTTCAATCTATTGATCTTTACAGTTAAGTGAATCTCAAGAATATTGTAAATAACACACACCTAATTCTCCAGATTTAGATGGAGTCTGACTCTCTACTCTAGTCTCAGGTGTTCCCTCTGTTCCTCAGGTGTCTCTTTGAGTTACAGCGGAAAGTAAAGTGTCTGTAGAGAGTGTGTTGTGTCTCTGCAGAGCCTGGAGGTGTCCCTCACACAAACATAATTCCTCTCTACTCTAAAACACACACACAGTTCCTCTGAGTGGCACTTTAACAAACCACTGTGAACTTCAGAAGACACCCATCAAACCTCAACAGAGGGGAAACCCCACACACACACACACACACACACACACACACACACACACACACACACACACACACACACACACACACACACACACACACACACACACACACACACACACACACACACACACACACCACACACACACACACACACACACACACACACACACACACACACACACACACACACACACACACACACACACACACACACACACACACACACACACACACACACACACAACTTCAGAGCGGCAGAGACATGAAGGCATTGGCAGCGTCGCTAACTTTCATGTCAAACTACATCACACACTAAAGTAACTTCATGTTCAAAGACACAGGGGAAGTAGAAGCTGTGTGTGTGTGTGTGTGTGTGTGTGTGTGTGTGTGTGCCCTAATGAGAACAGGGTTAAGGGGTTGACTAAGCTTCTGATGCCCTGTGGGTGTGCAACAAACGAAATATATAAATAAAGAGTAAAGCAGCGCGGGAAGAGATAAGTGAGAAAGTGTGTGTGATGATAAATGCACATCGGACAATTTTAGAGATCATCTGATGATATAAAAAAACTTCAATAACAACCTTGGGTTCATCATGAGAAAAAAGATGGTGTAATATCACTCAGATATGTTTAGAGAAAATTACAGACATTAAAAAGGTCACAAAATACTGAAGTATAACAGTTACTTGAGATTTAAAGGAGCCCTATTCTGCTCATTTCAGGTGTATATCAGTATGTAGTGTCTCTACTTTAAAGAGTCCTCTCCTGCTGATCTTCAGGTGTACATCAGTATGTAGTGTCTCTACTTTAAAGAGTCCTCTCCTGCTGATGTTCAGGTGTATATCAGTGTGTAGTGTCTCTACTTTAAAGAGTCCTCTCCTGCTGATGTTCAGGTGTATATCAGTATGTAGTGTCTCTACTTTAAAGAGTCCTCTCCTGCTGATGTTCAGGTGTATATCAGTATGTAGTGTCTCTACTTTAAAGAGTCCTCTCCTGCTGATGTTCAGGTGTATATCAGTATGTAGTGTCTCTACTTTAAAGAGTCCTCTCCTGCTGATGTTCAGGTGTATATCAGTATGTAGTGTCTCTACTTTAAAGAGTCCTCTCCTGCTGATGTTCAGGTGTATATCAGTATGTAGTGTCTCTACTTTAAAGAGTCCTCTCCTGTTGATGTGCAGGTGTATATCAGTATGTAGTGTCTCTACTTTAAAGAGTTCTCTCCTGCTGATCTTCAGGTGTATATCAGTATGTAGTGTCTCTACTTTAAAGAGTCCTCTCCTGCTGATGTTCAGGTGTATATCAGTATGTAGTGTCTCTACTTTAAAGAGTCCTCTCCTGCTGATGTTCAGGTGTATATCAGTATGTAGTGTCTCTACTTTAAAGAGTCCTCTCCTGCTGATGTTCAGGTGTATATCAGTATGTAGTGTCTCTACTTTAAAGAGTCCTCTCCTGCTGATGTTCAGGTGTATATCAGTATGTAGTGTCTCTACTTTAAAGAGTCCTCTCCTGTTGATGTTCAGGTGTATATCAGTGTGTAGTGTCTCTACTTTAAAGAGTCCTCTCCTGCTGATGTTCAGGTGTATATCAGTCTGTAGTGTCTCTACTTTAAAGAGTCCTCTCCTGCTGATGTTCAGGTGTATATCAGTATGTAGTGTCTCTACTTTAAAGAGTCCTCTCCTGCTGATGTTCAGGTGTATATCAGTGTATAGTGTCTCTACTTTAAAGAGTCCTCTCCTGTTGATGTTCAGGTGTATATCAGTGTGTAGTGTCTCTACTTTAAAGAGTCCTCTCCTGCTGATGTTCAGGTGTATATCAGTCTGTAGTGTCTCTACTTTAAAGAGTCCTCTCCTGCTGATGTTCAGGTGTATATCAGTATGTAGTGTCTCTACTTTAAAGAGTCCTCTCCTGCTGATGTTCAGGTGTATATCAGTATGTAGTGTCTCTACTTTAAAGAGTCCTCTCCTGCTGATGTTCAGGTGTATATCAGTATGTAGTGTCTCTACTTTAAAGAGTCCTCTCCTGCTGATGTTCAGGTGTATATCAGTGTATAGTGTCTCTACTTTAAAGAGTCCTCTCCTGTTGATGTTCAGGTGTATATCAGTCTGTAGTGTCTCTACTTTAAAGAGTCCTCTCCTGCTGATGTTCAGGTGTATATCAGTATGTAGTGTCTCTACTTTAAAGAGTCCTCTCCTGCTGATGTTCAGGTGTATATCAGTATGTAGTGTCTCTACTTTAAAGAGTCCTCTCCTGCTGATGTTCAGGTGTATATCAGTGTGTAGTGTCTCTACTTTAAAGAGTCCTCTCCTGCTGATGTTCAGGTGTATATCAGTATGTAGTGTCTCTACTTTAAAGAGTCCTCTCCTGTTGATGTTCAGGTGTATATCAGTGTGTAGTGTCTCTACTTTAAAGAGTCCTCTCCTGCTGATGTTCAGGGTGTATATCAGTCTGTAGTGTCTCTACTTTAAAGAGTCCTCTCCTGCTGATGTTCAGGTGTATATCAGTATGTAGTGTCTCTACTTTAAAGAGTCCTCTCCTGCTGATGTTCAGGTGTATATCAGTATGTAGTGTCTCTACTTTAAAGAGTCCTCTCCTGCTGATGTTCAGGTGTATATCAGTGTGTAGTGTCTCTACTTTAAAGAGTCCTCTCCTGCTGATGTTCAGGTGTATATCAGTATGTAGTGTCTCTACTTTAAAGAGTCCTCTCCTGTTGATGTTCAGGTGTATATCAGTGTGTAGTGTCTCTACTTTAAAGAGTCCTCTCCTGCTGATGTTCAGGTGTATATCAGTCTGTAGTGTCTCTACTTTAAAGAGTCCTCTCCTGCTGATGTTCAGTTGTATATCAGTATGTAGTGTCTCTACTTTAAAGAGTCCTCTCCTGCTGATGTTCAGGTGTATATCAGTATGTAGTGTCTCTACTTTAAAGAGTCCTCTCCTGCTGATGTTCAGGTGTATATCAGTATGTAGTGTCTCTACTTTAAAGAGTCCTCTCCTGCTGATGTTCAGGTGTATATCAGTATGTAGTGTCTCTACTTTAAAGAGTCCTCTTTAATGTTGTTGTCTTATAACACAGAGGTATAGATATTTTGCATTTTCCAAAATAAAAGCACTAAAACTGTTGAAGTCCACTTTAAAATCCTCTCATGGTTCCTCTGCTCTTGAACTCAGAGGAATGCAGAGCTGGAGCCTCTGACCCGACACAGCACATCGCATCAGACTATGCCTTATTGACTTCCGTGCACGCACACACGCACACGCACACACACGCACACGCACACACACACACACACACACACACACACACACACACACACACACACACACACACACACACACACACACACACACACACACACTTTTTGAATTAATACATGACTATGTTGAGGTCTCCATATTAGGTTGAATAATTAAAAATGAAAGTTAATATAATCAAATATATTCTTGTATTAACCCACAATGAAAATGCATTATATTTCATGTTGTTCTATAATCACGGGAAATACAAAACACAATTGGTTTGTTAAATTGAGTTTAGAAGCCTATTATAGTTTCACTATAGAGTGTCACTGTTTAAAGAGGGGACACAGTTGTCTTCACTCACAGCTGGCTGTTCACAGGGGGGGGGCCCTGACTCAATTGAAAAGTACTGAAGCCCCAACATGTGTTTAGGCTATAGAATATGTCTGTCCATGTCCAGTCCTGCACACCAGAGGCCATGACCTTTTCCTACATATATGGGTATGAAGGAGGTGTCTTTGGTTTTCTGTCCCTGTGTGGATCATAAGAGCACTGGATGAGAGGGAGAAAAAGTCCTCTCAACTTGGTAAGTCCTCTCAACTTGGTAAGTCCTCTCACCTTGGTAAGTCCTCTCACCCTGGTAAGTTCTCTCAACTTGGTAAGTCCTCTCAACTTGGTAAGTCCTCTCACCTTGGTAAGTCCTCTCACCCTGGTAAGTCCTCTCACCTTGGTAAGTCCTCTCACCTTGGTAAGTCCTCTCAACCTGGTAAGTCCTCTCACCTTGGTAAGTCCTCTCAACCTGGTAAGTCCTCTCACCCTGGTAAGTCCTCTCACCTTGGTAAGTCCTCTCAACTTGGTAAGTTCTCTCAACTTGGTAAGTTCTCTCAACTTGGTAAGTTCTCTCAACTTGGTAATCCTCTCACCTTGGTAAGTCCTCTCAACTTGGTAAGTCCTCTCAACTTGGTAAGTCCTCTCACCTTGGTAAGTCCTCTCACCTTGGTAATCCTCTCAACTTGTAAGTCCTCTCAACTTGGTAAGTCCTCTCACCCTGGTAAGTCCTCTCACCTTGGTAATTCCTCTCAACTTGGTAAGTCCTCTCAACTTGGTAAGTCCTCTCAACTTGGTAAGTCCTCTCAACTTGGTAAGTCCTCTCAACTTGGTAAGTCCTCTCAACTTGGTAAGTCCTCTCACCTTGGTAAGTCCTCTCAACTTGGTAAGTCCTCTCAACTTGGTAAGTCCTCTCAACTTGGTAAGTCCTCTCAACTTGGTAAGTCCTCTCAACTTGGTAAGTCCTCTCAACTTGGTAAGTCCTCTCAACTTGGTAAGTCCTCTCACCTTGGTAAGTCCTCTCACCTTGGTAAGTCCTCTCAACTTGGTAAGTCCTCTCACCTTGGTAAGTCCTCTCACCTTGGTAAGTCCTCTCACCTTGGTAAGTCCTCTCAACTTGGTAAGTCCTCTCACCTTGGTAAGTCCTCTCACCCTGGTAAGTCCTCTCACCTTGGTAAGTCCTCTCACCCTGGTAAGTCCTCTCACCTTGGTAAGTCCTCTCACCCTGGTAAGTCCTCTCAACTTGGTAAGTCCTATCACCTTGGTAAGTCCTCTCACCTTGGTAAGTCCTCTCAACTTGGTAAGTCCTCTCACCCTGGTAAGTCCTCTCAACTTGGTAAGTCCTCTCACCTTGGTAAGTCCTCTCAACTTGGTAAGTCCTCTCACCTTGGTAAGTCCTCTCAACTTGGTAAGTCCTCTCAACTTGGTAAGTCCTCTCACCCTGGTAAGTCCTCTCAACTTGGTAAGTCCTCTCACCTTGGTAAGTCCTCTCAACTTGGTAAGTCCTCTCACCTTGGTAAGTCCTCTCACCTTGGTAAGTCCTCTCAACTTGGTAAGTTCTCTCACCTTGGTAAGTCCTCTCACCTTGGTAAGTCCTCTCACCTTGGTAAGTCCTCTCACCTTGGTAAGTCCTCTCACCTTGGTAAGTCCTCTCACCCTGGTAAGTCCTCTCAAATTGACTTTGGTTTTGAGTGAATTGTTGAATGAAAGTTTGAATGTTGTTTCCCACAATCCCGAGGAATACAAAATACAAATACAAGTATGTATAAAAATATGTATATACACAGATATACACGGATCATTTCTCACTTTCCTCTCCCTCTGTTACGCCCCCCCCCCCCCCCCCTCTGATGGCCTGTCTGTCTGATATGAAGCCGCTCAATGATCAGAGGAGGAAATCAGACGCATTCATGTGATGGGATTAGAGGGGGGGGGACTCACTTCCCCTGACTGGATTAACCCTTCCTGCTCCCCCATCATCACTCACATGCATCTAAATACAACCTGCCTACATTCAGATATGCAGAGCTGCAATGATTAGGTCATTTATAAGAAAGTATTCACTTTTTGGATAATAATTGCCCTTTTTTCTGCACAAAAAAGGTGGAAAATGCAGTTTTTAGCCTCTCAAATATGGAGATTTCCATATATTGGTTTATAGTATACACATTATAGAGAGAATATCTTTTGGTTTTGGACTGACAAGACATTTAAAGACATCACCTTGGACTTTTTATATAATATATAATAAAATAATCTCCTTTTTTGATAATAATTGTCTTTTGTTGTGCGGAAAAGTTGGAACATTTGAAGATTTTCTATTTTTTCTTGGTTTTATACAAATAATAGAGAGAATGTCTTTTGGTTTTGGACTGACAAGACATTTAAAGACATCAGCTTGGACTTTCTTTATAATATATAATCACCTTTTTTGATAATAAATGTCATTTCTATTGCTCAAAAAGGGGGAAAATGTGGAGATCTTACCCTTTTTCTTGTTTTTATACACATACTAGAGAGAATATCTTTTGGTTTTTGGACTGATAAGACATTTAAAGAAATCACCTTGGACTTTTTTAATAATATAAAATACAATAATAACCTTTTAGTGATAATAAATGTTTTTAAGGCACAAAAATGCAGTCTTTAGCAATGATTAGTCGATCAATGGAAAATGTGCAGTTAATTTTCTGACATTTTATCTAAGTGTGTGTGCGTGTGCGTGTGCGTGTGTGTGCGTGTGCGTGTGTGTGTGTGTTTTCTGACATTGTACAGACCATACGTTTCTCTGAGAAGCGGCAGATTGTGACAGCCTCATTCATGTGTCAAAATGTGAATATAAGCCATATTCACATTTATTTACGTAACCACTATAACCTTTTTTAAATCCAGGCTGAATATTTTTCTCTGTTTGCTGCTTTTATAATAAATCAAGTAACTGTTCCTATATAACACTGAACCAACTGTTACTTGTATTACTGTCATTTATCCCTTTCTTATTCTGTTTGAGCCTTTTTAATTGTATTTTCTTGGCTTACTGTATTTAAATGCCAGTTCATAATTATTTCTACTCTGCTTTTAGTAGAGCACTTTGAATTGCCTTGTGTTGCAATGTGCAAAACCTGAAGCTCTTTGACACATTAATAGTCATTTAAGTCATTAATGTAACACTTTCACTGACACCGTGATGTAGAAAATAAATCCGAAACACCTCCAACACTTTTTTTTAAGCGTTTTCGAACCACATCTTAAGCAAACTTTCAGAATAAAAGCCTCTGTGTGTCGAACACTGATTCATGGATTCACTGGAGCTTTGTGTAGTGTTCGTGTGTGTGAACAGGCCATGAGTGTGTGTGTGTGTGTGTGTGTGTGTGTGTGTGTTTTTGTTGCACTCACCATGAAATGAGGCTGGGTCAGTATCCGTCTGAGTTCTTTAGCTTCGTGGTTCTCAGGGTAGCAGGAGATCTCTTCCAGTACCTGCAGATCCAAAGAAAAAACACCCCGGAAAAAAGTTTGGTTTTCTTCTTCTTTACGTCCAAATCACACACACACACTTTGTTCTGCACCCTGCTGTACCTGCTGCACCTCAGACAGAGTGTGGACAGTGACCAAACACACACACACACACACACCCTCAAAGAAAACACCGCCCCCATTTCCTCCACAGCCAATGTGAGACTGACTTCGGACACTGGTCAAATCCCTCCAGCTATGTTGCGCCTGAATGCTGAATGTGGCATTGTAGAGGTGAGGCCTGTGTGTGTGTGTGTGTGTGTGTGTGTGTGTGTGTGTGTGTGTGCGTGCGTGCGTGCGTGCGTGCGTACGTACTTAAACCCGCATTGTGGAGTGATGTACTTCCTTAAACAGTGCTGTTTATACTTATTACTTGAGTAAAAGTAGCAACACTTAATTGTAATACAAATACTTGAGTAGGAGTACAAGTATTGGCATCAAAATATACTTAAAGTGGACCTATCATGCTATATTTGAATAATATAGTGTAGGACCATACCTATGTAAGGCATATTTATACTTTTTTTTTTCAAAATACCAAACAGATCATGCATTTTAGCCATGCCTCATTTTGCTCAATTTGAAAAATGTTAGCTCTGTTTTAGCAAGGGCTGATTCAGTGAGAACAGCACCACCTACAGGCCTGGCATATGTACTACAGCGTCTCCAGCGCTTTCGAACGGCAATGGCCGTGGCTGTCTCCTCCTGATTGGTGGAGTTGGCCCAATAGCCGTAGCGCCACCGTCCTGACGTCAGGACAGTGTTCAAATCTGGATCAGTTTTTATCAGATCCGTTGCAGCCCCTTTTTTAGAGATTTGGGTATGGAGGAAAATAGAGAGGGTTGTGTTTTCTGACACTTGGTGAGTTCCCTGGAACACCGGGGACACATATTCATGTATCAAAGACGTACACAAGTGCATTTTGCATGATAGGTCCCCTTTAAAGAACCAAAAGTAAAAGTGCTGGTTTTGCAGATTGGCCCATTTCAGAATCATATATATTAAAGGAGCCATTTTCAGGTTATATATTAATATTTTGTGCCTCTATTAACAGTTTATATACATTTGACAAGCATGAGATATGCCGAAATACTCAAAGCTGTACGACGTTTATTTCATTAGATCACTCTACAGGAAAAAGAAAACCCCAAATAGCCTATTAGGCCCTCTTTAATGTTAGTTTATCACACCTCCTCCTCCCTAATAACACTCTGCTTCTACTCGTTAGTATCCTGATGTGTGAGATCTTACATATTCCAGGTGTTTCAAAGCGTCTGTGGCTTCGTCCTGAGGAGGAAGACACACAGAGTGACGCCCGTTAATCACTTTAGATTCATTTAGTATCTGCAGAAAGACCAGGTTACTGCAGCCCTCAGGAAAAGATTAGTTTCAGCTGATTAGTTTCAGCTTGAGTAAAGTTTGAAGAGTGGACAGGAAGCTGCGATCTGATTGTTTCGGAGAGTTTTAGTGTCAGAGTGAAGCAGAGGAAGAGGAAGAGAAACTAAGATTAAATGATTAATTAGTTTGAAGTGGAACTGTGTCGGTTAGCTGGCCGGCTCTGTTGTGATTGGTCAACCGCTTAGAGATGTCCCGCCCCTTAGCCTATCACGTAGAATGAGTTGGAGCGCTAGCCAATAGGAGTGTGTTTGCTAGTGAAGTTGGTAGGTTAGGAAGTTAAGTGTGTTTTGATGCAAAGAATTACATTGCTGGAAAATGTATTATAATAAAAGACAGAGAACATCAAACAAGTCCAACACACACACACACACACACACACACACACACACACACACACACACACACACACACACACACACACACACACACACACACACACACACACACACACACACACACACACACACACACACACACACACACACACACACACACACACACACACACACACACACACACACACACACACACACACACACACACACACACACACACACACACACACACACACACACACACACACACACACACACACACACACACACACACACCTTCTTAAGTACCAGCCTTGCATCCTGCACATAAACCCTAACTAGCAATGAGTGTGTGCGTGTGTGTGTGTGTGTGTGCGTGTGTGTGTGTGTATGTGTGTGTGTGTGTGTGTGTGTGTGTGAATTCATCACAGCGAGGGTCAGACCCCTGAGACCATAATGCACCTCTCTGTGGAGAAAGCACTAATAACCACAAACACACTGTTGATGTGTGTGTGCGTGTGTGTGCGTGCGTGTGTGTGTGTGTGTGTGTGTGTGTGCGTGTGTGTGTGTGTGTGTGTGTGTGTGTGTGTGTAGCAGCTTCTCTAATGAGGAAGGTGAAACAGAAGCCAGATGTATTTATGTTTTAACAGTCTGTTTACAAAACAGAAGTTCAAGTTAAATGGCAGTAACTATTATTGTATTTAAATATTTGAGATACTGTATACTTTATATACTCTGAAGCATCACTAAATACTGCAGTACTCACTACCCTCTCTGTACATGATATAGTATATTAGTATTTGCACTTCTTCAGATGCATTGAATTGGCTCGTACCTGCACACAGACAACACACGTTCATCCATCTATCGACCTCTTAGGGACCAGAGCTGCACATATAACTGAATATATATCAAAATAATAATATAGACAAGTCCAATCTTCAAATGGCAGGATGCACAATATTTATTAAAGGGTAAATATGTCTTAAAATACCATTTTAAATAAGTATTGTGGAGCTACAGGGACTCCTTGTTTGATTCGCCTACATTTGAATTATTTGTCAGAATCAATGCAATAAGTTATGTTTTTACAAGTAAATCGTGCAGCCCGAAAATGAAAAAAGAGTATTCGAGTATTTCTCATTTATCTGAGAGCGTCTTCACACAAACAGGAAGTAAGAAGCTGTGAGGAGAGAGAGCTTCAGAGAGCGATTCATATGAATAATGAAACAGAAGTGAGAGGTTACAGAGGGAAGCAGCGACGAGAGAGAGTGTGTTATCTGCACAGAGTATTACATCCATCACACACACATCACATGAGGAAGAACAGGACACACACTCGTGTTAATGTGTGCGAATCAGGGTGAATGTGTTTTATTACATTCAAGCTTTAATACATTTCTTTTGAGGTTGAAATATTTTGTTTTAATGATTTACTTAATTTATTGATCAATTAACGGAACTCAAAATACAATTCTAACACATTTTTTTATGTGCAGTATAAATAATAAGAAACATAAAAACATGTGTGTGTGTGTGTGTGTGTGTGTGTGTGTGTGTGTGTGTGTGTGTGTGTGTGTGTGTGTGTGTGTGTGTGTGTGTGTGTGTGTGTGTGAGTATAAGTGTGAGTGTAAGTATGTGTGTGTCAGTGTGTGTGTGTGTGATTGTGTGTGTGAGCGTGTAAGTGTGTGTGTGAGTGTTTTTAGATGTGCATGTGTGTGAGCGTGTGTCTGTGTGTGAGAGCGTGTGTGTGTGAGCGTGCAAGTGTGTGTGATGTGTGTGTGTGTGTGATGTGTGAGTGCATGTGAGTGTGTGAGTGTGTGTGTGTGTGTGTGTGCGTGTGAGTGTGTGAGCGTGTGTGTGAGTGAGTGTGTGTGTGAGAGTGTGAGTGAGTGAGTGTTTGTGTGTGTGTGTGTGTGTGTGTGTGAGCGTGTGTGTGTGAGAGTGTGTGTGAGAGTGTGAGTGAGCGAGTGTGTGTGTGTGTGCGTGTGCGTGTGCGTGTGCGTGTGTGTGTGTGTGTGAGCGTGAGCGAGTGAGTGTGTGTGTGTGTTTGTGTGTGTGTGTGTGTGTGTGTGTGTGTGTGTGAGCGTGAGCGTGAGCGAGTGAGTGTGTGTGTACCTCTTTGGCTCTCTGCACAGCATCACTAGGAGCGTTTCTGATCTGCGGAGACGACTTGGTGTTGATCTTATCGTAGAGCTGAAACAAAAAGAGAAGAAATCATTAATCAATCAATCAGTGAGAGAACCAATCAGTGATTAGGAGGTCAACATGATCAAACAGCTGATCGTCAACACTAGATAAAATGCGGCCTGCGGACCATCTTGAATCGGCCCTCAGCTAATTCAAAAAGTACAATGGAATACGGCCCATACCTGAAACTTCTGCTTGTCTTGTACTTCTTAAATATAAATGTAAACATATATTACACAGTAGTATTCACGTGTTGATAAGACCTTCCTATTTCCTCTTATTATAATCACTCTGAGGCTTCTGTTTTAAGGGATGAGCTGCCAACACTCAAAAGCATAATTTACCTGCATTGGATTGATTTGAGTAACTTATAACTGAACTTATGAGGCAGTAAACTTCTAGTGAGCGGCCCTTCGTATATATATTTCTGTATGTGGCCCTCTGTGAAAAAGGTTTGGACCCCCCTGGACTAAAGGAAAAGAAATATAGGAAACCTGTTCATTGTTATTTTGATATAGGAATGAAATGCACAAACAGGGATGTGTGTCTGGACTTGGATCATTTGCTAACTGGTGCCTCAGCAGCAGTTTTACTTTCAGTGAATTATCTGTTTCATTTCTATATGATTTTGCTCGCTACATCTACAACAGGGATTTTAGAACCCTGCAGACCGTTTACATCAGGGGGGTCAAACTCAAGGCCCGGGGGCCAAATCCGGCCCGTGACTTCATGTCATGTGGCCCCACAAGAGCTTGCAAAGAATATAATATGTTTATTATACGGTTACATGCTGATTTACAGAAGCATGTTGCCCATAAACTACATGTCCCACAATGCATCTCAGATTTGACTTTTTTTCTTCTAAATATGCATTTTTTCTTAGAATTGTTTTTGTAAATGTTACTTTTTTTGAAATGTTAGTTTATTTTTTTCAAATTTCACTTCTTTTAAAAAACAAATTCACTTATTTTTTGATTTTGACTTTTTTTTCCAGAATTTTGCTTTTCTTTTTAAATCATTTTGTGACATTCTCACTGAAGAGACTTGCAATTATTTGCCCTAGACTTCTGCTTTCAGACGTAGTTATTTATGAAGTTATTACCCTATCCCATAATAATCCAATGCAGAGGCAATCATGTAATATAATACATTATTTTATATATATATGATATATATATATATGTATTTTTATGTAGTCTTAAAGTTACAACCGGCCCTTTGAGTGCAGCCATAATGCTAATGTGGCCCGTGATGAAATTGAGTTTGACCCCCCTGGTTTACATGCACAGAAACATTGACTACAGCGAAGGGAACACTCCAGAAAGACTAATAGGCCTCTTTAAGAATTCAGTTTTCGGCATCAGAGGCACATTTCTTCACACGATGAAATAAACGTGTTTCCTGTAAACACTGTTGTGTGGGAGAAACCACGTCTATATTTAGGAACAGCCTGGTTACACTTCTGGTGTTTTTCAAGTGAAATGGGTTAAAAACAAAGCAGTTATCCTCATTTATACTCCGCTCTTTCTGTCTTTATTTGGTTTGGTTTGTCTTCAGAGATTTTAAAACTATCTTTTATTCTTCTTGACGTTAAACTGTTAACAAGAAGGAGCTGTTTCTGCTCTCTGGGACGAACAGACAGACTCTGTTTACTGAGTCCCAGCTGACTAATAAACTGACAGAGTGTGTGTGTGCGCTGAGTCACAGACGAGGAGTGTGTGTGTGTATGTGTGTTTGTGTGTGTGTGTGTGAGAGAGATTTGATGTTTGCAGACAAAAGGGCCCTGAATCACTGACGGCAGCTGGAGGGGAGACGAAAGGAGAATAAAACACTCCTCTAAAAATGTTTTCATATCTAAGATACAAGCAGGAGATGTTTGATGAGCAATTTGACATCACACACACACACACACACACACACACACACACACACACACACACACACACACACACACACACACACACACACACACACACACACACACACACACACACCACACACACACACACACACACACACACACAACACACACACACACACACACACACACACACACACACACACACACACACACACACACACACACACACACACACACACACACACACACACACACACACACACACACACACACGTCACATTCGTATAATATAACATAATCCAATCCATTTTATTTCTATAGCACATTTAAAAACAACAGAGTTGAACAAAGTGCTGAACATCTGACCTGGAGGAGCAAGTCTAACCTGGAGGGGCAAGTCTAACCTGGAGGGGCAAGTCTGACCTGGAGGAGCAAGTCTGACCTGGAGGGGCAAGTCTGACCTGGAGGGGCAAGTCTGACCTGGAGGGGCAAGTCTAACCTGGAGGAGCAAGTCTAACCTGGAGGGGCAAGTCTAACCTGGAGGGGCAAGTCTAACCTGGAGGGGCAAGTCTGACCTGGAGGAGCAAGTCTGACCTGGAGGGGCAAGTCTGACCTGGAGGGGCAAGTCTGACCTGGAGGGGCAAGTCTGACCTGGAGGAGCAATTTGTTCCATAACTTTGGAGCTGCAACAGCAAAGGCTCCGTCTCCTCGCTGCCACGACCAGAAGGAGTCTGTCAGCCGACCTCAGTGACCGTGTGGGTGTGTATGGGTTTAAAAGATCTGCCAGGTACGCTGGGGCTAAACCGTTTAGGGCCTTGTATGCGAACAGTAACATTTTAAATTGTATTCTTAAACTGACTGGTAGCCAATGTAACGAGGCGATTACAGGCGTAATATGTTCACGCCTGCCTGTCCTTGTAAGGAGGCGTGCAGCAGCATTCTGGACCAGCTGGAGGCGAGACAGGGAAGCCTTGCTTACTCCAAAGTACAGAGCGTTGCAGTAATCCAGTTTAGTGGATATAAAACAATGTATTACTTTCTCAAAGTCATTCAAAGAAAGGAAAGGCTTGACCTTTGCTAAAAGTCTTAGCTGAAAGAAGCTGCATTTGACCACAGAATTGATCTGTTTGTCTAGTTTAAAATCACGATCAATAAGAGACACGTTTAGCACCACATTAAGTCAGAAAACACATTTTATAGGGGGATTCACTTAAATCAAAACCCAGCTTCATCACCGTCTCCTGGGAAAGACCAATGACAAAGTTTGCATCTCCACGCCCTCCATGAACAAACTGAGAAACAGACACAACACACACCTCAGGAAACACTCATAAGAATACCAAAATAAAGCCTGAGGGCTGAATCGTACCACAGAGTGTGTGTGTGTGTGTGTGTGTGTGTGTGTGTGTGTGTGTGTCGTCCGTCATTGAGCACACACACACATATTTACTGCTCTCTTCTTCTGCGACTTTCAGAGGACGCAACGTCAACATCTTTCTGCTTTTGTTGACGGTTAAACAAAGTGACCTCTAAGGGCTTTTATTCTGAAAAACTACAATATTCTGCAGACAACTGAACAAACTATGAACAAATACTGCGATATGTAGAATTAGGAAGGCACGGAGACAATATATCAGCGGTGCAAATCACAAAATAAGGGCTGCAGGAATTGATATTTTGTAGATTTTGATAACATGTTGATTTACTGTGCAGCTCTAATAGAAACCAACAATTAAAACAAGCAGCTCTTTCTCTCAATGAGGACACGATGTCTTCACTTCCTGATAGTGACACGTACATTTAGACTTCTCCTTCAGGATCACTTCTGAAACTAGCACAACAACAACAAGACAAAATGCACTTGACTGCAGCGCCTCATTACACATGTGGAACGGGGAAAACACACACACGGGAAAAAAGACTTCAAATCAGCTCGAGGCAATTTTAGAAATCCTGCAAACACTTCAGAGAGAAAGAAACTCACCCGCTTTGTCAGGAGAACGCTGCGGGAACTATTTATCTAACACACCAAGGTCCATGAGATGTTTCAGCAGTGTGGTGGCTGCACACACACACACACACACACACACACACACACACTGACGGAGGCTGAATAACACTGAAGGCCCGACAATACACACCATTGTTTCCTTCACTGCTCCCTCTGTCCTTCCTCACACTCCCCCTCCTCTAAAAGAGTCAAAGTGAGGGCTGAAAGGGAGACATCTGCAGCTCCCACTGACACACACACGCGTACAGACACACACACACGCGTACAGAGACAGACACACACATACACACGTACAGACACACACGCGTACAGAGACAGACACACACGCGCGTACACACACAGACACACGTACAGAGACAGACACAGACACGCGTACAGAGACACGCGTACAGAGACACACACGCGCGCGCATACAGAGAGACACACGCGCGCGCGTACAGAGACACACACACACACGCGCGTGCAGAGAGACACACACGCGCACACACACACACACACACACACACACACACACACACACACACACACACACACACACACACACACACACACACACACACACACACACACACACACACACACACACACACACACACACACACACACACACACACACACACACACACACACACACACACACACACACACACACACACACACACACACACACACACACACACACACACACACACACACACACACACACACACACACACACACACACACACACACATCCCTAGTAGTCTCTTAATTGTTATTCACTAACTATATTAACTAGCTTATTGGAACTTTTTAAAGTAGTCAAATATGTGCAGACGTTTATCCACAGATATCTCAACCTTTAACATTATATCATTTACTTTGATTTATCAAAGGAAGATTTTCAAGTACACTGTGAGCACAAAGTGACATGCTGACCCCCCTTGATGATGTTCAGTCAGCACCAACTTCCTTAGATGCTAATAGTTTTCATTGTCTTTGCAATGAGGGGTATTTGCATAGATGGAGGCCAAATATGCACCACATTTAATTTAAATAGCACAGAGCAACGAAGCAGAACGCTGATTAAAGCGCCTGTCTTCAGTTAGCATGAGCTCTCTAAAGATGCTAATCATTCTTATTTTGTTTTGCATAGTAAGAGGACAAAATATGCAAAATATTTCTGCAGAATTATGAATTTAAATGTATGCAAAGTGAGCGAAGCTAGGGCTGCTTTGCTTTTTGCACGTGCTTTGGGTAATACACTTTATTATATCTGCAAAGAACAAATAAAAGGTGCTTATTATCACTCCTCATCAGCAACACAACATGTATGTAATGGTTGCACATTTCTCAGAGACAGAGATACATATCAAATACGTTTGTCCGAATATTTGGGGTTAGGTTATTGCCATTTTCCAGAATGCATTGTTATAATCATCTGATTTCCTGATCCCTCTGATTTACATGACATCATTGTTGGATACACCTCTTGCAGATTCTCACATCCTGTCAAAAACATCCTCTGTTTATTTCCCAAAATTGCAGAGAAAGAAACAGAAATCAGAGAAAATGCAACACTTCCAGTGTCAGACACACTGAGTAATAATATCAAATGTTGTCTGGGATTTTGTTGATATGGTGACGCAGTAATCAGTAAAGGTCCCTGCTTATATTCTGCTGTAAACACGCGAGTCATTTAACAACAAAACAACAACAACATGACCTTTCTAGATTGCCTCCAGAGTGCGTGCAGGTGGGAGGAAGATATTTGTGTCTGATATTAATCATGCAGAGCCTCGGCCACGTGAAGTGTTGACAGTTTTTGTTAACTCATGCAGTCTGATGGAAACTCTACAGGCTAAACATGGTTAATATTATGCTAGAAATCCTCCCCAGGTTTGAATTTAACGCTATCATTTCACTTTGTAACAAGGCTGCAAAACTGGAGCACACACACAGACGTACAGACACACACACACGTACGTACAGAGACACACACGTACAGAGACACACACACTCACACGTACGTACAGAGACACACACGTACAGAGACACACATACTCACACACGTACGTACAGAGACACACACGTACAGAGACACACACACACACACACACGTACGTACAGAGACACACACGTACAGAGACACACACACTCACACACGTACGTACAGAGACACACACACACACACGTACGTACAGAGACACACGTAAAGAGAGACACACACACACACGTACGTACAGAGACACACACACACACACGTACGTACAGAGACACACGTAAAGAGAGACACACTCACACACGTACGTACAGAGACACACACACACACACGTACGTACAGAGACACACGTAAAGAGAGACACACACACACACGTACGTACAGAGACACACACACACACACGTACGTACAGAGACACACGTAAAGAGAGACACACACACACACGTACGTACAGAGACACACACACACACACGTACGTACAGAGACACACACACACACACGTACGTACAGAGACACACGTAAAGAGAGACACACTCACACACGTACGTACAGAGACACACACACACACACGTACGTACAGAGACACACGTAAAGAGAGACACACACACACACGTACGTACAGAGACACACACACGTACATACAGAGACACACACACACACACGTACGTACAGAGACACACACACATACGTACAGAGACACACGTAAAGAGAGACACACACACACACGTACAGAGACACACACACGTACGTACAGAGACACACACACGTACGTACAGAGACACACACACGTACGTACAGAGACACACGTAAAGAGAGACACACACACGTACGTACAGAGACACACGTAAAGAGAGACACACACACGTACGTACAGAGACACACGTACGTACAGAGACACACGCACGTACAGAGACACACGTAAAGAGAGACACACACACGTACGTACAGAGACACACGTAAAGAGAGACACACACACGTACGTACAGAGACACACGTACGTACAGAGACACACGCACGTACAGAGACACACGTACGTACAGAGACACACGCACGTACAGAGACACACGTAAAGAGAGACACACACACGTACGTACAGAGACACACGTACGTACAGAGACACACGCACGTACAGAGACACACGCACGTACAGAGACACACGCACGTACAGAGACACACGCACACACACACACACACACACACACACACTTTAAGAGAGGGGGTTTATTGATTTTATTCAGAGGACTTCAGTCTTTGACTGTTTGGTATGCGGAGAGGAAGCAGCAGATGTGTACTGAACAACAGAGGGAGAGGAGAGGAGAGTTTCTCAGGCAGGAGTGTAAGATAAGATAAGAAGTACTTGATTGATCCTGATTTGGGAAATATTTGCGTTGCAGCAGCTTCAAAAACAAGGCATTGCAAATAAGAGAAATGAAAAGAGTATAATCACTTCTAAAATGGAAACATCTCAAAATAGAAAATAACAGTAGAAAATATACATGTTGAAACACCAATTTACAGTAAACTAAATAAAGGATATTATATACATTAAGTGTGTGAGGAATGGAATATTAAATATAAAATGTTGCACAAACTGTAGGCTTTTTGAAGCTTTACTGACTCCACAACAAGCCAAACATCACATGTCCAAATAAAATACAAATAAAGGTGTATTTATATTGTTCACTTACGTCGAGCAGTGTGTGTAGATGCTGGTCCTGGAACACACTGTGCAGGAAATCTAGATCCTTCTCACTGCAGTCTGTCAGAGCGTGGATCTCCTCTAGACTGTCCAGCACCTGAGAGACAGCGCCTACAACACACACGCACGTACAGAGACACACACGCACACACACGTACAGAGACACACACACACACATACACACACACACACACACACACACACACACACACACACACACTATGATCAACTGTTTTCCTCTGATATGAAAGCAAAAACTCTTATTAAGCGTGACTTTTTAAAGCAGTGATCCATCAGTCACCGAAGGCTCTCCGAACGCATTTGTTAGGAGCATGCACATACACTGAAACATGTTCTCAATCAAGTTAAAGCTGCTAAATCACAGATAAAAGCATCATCACAACACACAGGGAACTGGGATACCTACGTTCTGCTGCTAGCATTCCTAGCACGTGGGAAGCATTAATAGAAACAGACAAACACAATTGCAAATGAACACCATGTTATATATATATATTTATATATATTATACAGTATATACGGTGTGTATACACGGTGGGAAATAGAAATGTGACTGAAAGTACTGTCAACATACAAGTTCTGCAACAGGACGACCACATTTAGAGTGTAGACACTTTGCTTTTAGAGCATCTATCATCTGTCCTAACGAGCAGGGCTGTAACAGTTTATACTCATTTCATCTGCCGGAAAATGTTACCAATAGTTTCCAGTTGACTGCTGGGATAACCTGCTATTGAGTTGCATTCTGGGAACTCTGGATCCCACGTTGGGATGGAAAATGTGGTATTTTTCATCTGAGATCATAATACATAAATTCATTTAAGAAATCAAAACGTAACAAAAGGGTTTTTATGAGAAACGTGCATTTTCCATTTCTCCTAAATTAAAATCTTTAAATGTGATTTCCTGAGGCCTCATCAAGATGCTAATCGACTGTCGTAAATGATATCATACAGTCTCTTAGTATTTTTAAGAACATGGCGGCTAAGGGTCTGTTTTTATACGGTGCCAATTCACTTATTTAATATTCACGGATTCCATTACGTCTTGTGATTTCAAGCGTCTTTCAAAGAGCTCACAACTCACAACACAAGAAACTGCATTTCCCCTTGAAATGTTAGGAGGTGGTAGATTAGGGGTTACCTATTACCTTGAATATTCTAAATTGTATGCATTAAAGGGGCCGTGGTAAGCTCATTTATTGGGATTTTAGCCTCTGCAGACCATTAACATGCACACACACTACAGAAGAGTCTAAGTCTTATATGATCAAGAAGCCTGGGACTTATTACCAACACCTTTTCTGTATCTGCTGCACATAAAGCCTTTGTATTTAATGCAGAAATGTTTGAAATGTTTCTTGTTTTTCAAAAAATAATTCCCTGTAGCTGCCGGAGGGTGAAGCGTTCCCTGTGTGTGTGTGTGTGTGTGTGTGTGTGTGTGTGTGTGTGTTCAATAACAACACAAATAACAACAGATCTGAGAGCGTTTGTTTCCCCGCTGAACACAAACTCTCACCGAACCGTGACTCCTGCGCTCTGTTACATCCCCAATAATGAGAGGAAGTGTGTGTGTGTGTGTGTGTGTGTGTGTGTGTGTAGGGTTGGTCTGTGGATGTGGGGCATTAAACAGCATCTATGATAAAGTTTGTGTTATTAAGAGAAGCAGAAGAAGGAAGTTTAATTGAAGATGTGTGAAAGATGAATACAAATAAGTCTGTGTGTGTGTGTGTGCGTGTGCGTGCGTGTGCGTGTGTGTGTGTGTGCGTGTGTGTGTGTGTGTACCTGAGGAGGTGGGGTCTTCGGAGAAGTCGTGCATGTCCTCGGGGGGGTCTCCGTAGAAAGAGTTGAATTTGTGTGAGGTAACTGCAGCCAGAACAGCTCCCTGAGACACAAACACACACCTTTAATCACACGTTGAAACATGGGAGAGTGTGTGTGTGTGTGTATATATGTACATGTGTATTAATGCATGTGTGCGTTGGTGTATTTGTGTGTGTAGATGTGTGTGTGTGCCTGTATGTTCTCGTTAGTCTTAATGTAAGTGTATATGTGTGTGTGTGGTGTATCACTGTATGTTTTGAGTATTACAGTATGTGTTTGTTTTAGTGTTTATGTGTGTATTAAGATGTGTGTGTGTGAGTATCAGTGAATATGTGAACTTATATATGTGTGTGTGTTTTGTCTGTAGATTTGTATGTGGGTGTGATGTGTGTATAGGGTGTATTAGTTAATGTGTTTATGTGTGTGTAGATGCATCTGCGTATTAGTGTTAATGTGTGTGTGTGTGTGTGTGTGTGTGTGTGTGTGTGTGTGTGTGTGTGTGTGTGTGTGTGTGTGTGTGTGTGTGTGTGTGTGTGTGTGTGTGTGTGTGTGTGTGTGTGTGTGTCTGTGTCTGTGTGAGTGTATGTGTGTATGTGTGTGTGTCTGTGTGTCTGTGTGTGTGTGTGTGTGTGTGTGTGTTCAATAACAACACAAATAACAACAGATCTGAGAGCGTTTGTTTCCCCGCTGAACACAAACTCTCACCGAACCGTGACTCCTGCGCTCTGTTACATCCCCAATAATGAGAGGAAGTGTGTGTGTGTGTGTGTGTGTGTGTGTGTGTGTGTGTGTGTGTGTGTGTGTGTGTGTGTGTACCTTGAGCTTCCTCCTGGAGTTGAACTTCCTCAGCTGCTCCACGGTCTCTGGGAGGTGGATCTTGTAGGCGTATCGGTCCCTCTCCTTAGAAAAAACACACACTAAATATCTCACACAAGTACACACTTAAAGGGGTAATCCACGGACCAGTATACGTTACGAGTACTACGAGTACTACGAGTACTACGATTTCTCTTGTACATCTTGAGCTTCAGGACTAAGGTTTTAAACTCTTCATTTGAAGTGTGGATGTCATGCTTTCAAGGCTAAAGACAGGCTGTAATGAGACCTGATAATAAGTTGCTGGCTCCCACGTTGGAACGATAAATGGGATGTTCTTTATTTGAAATCCTAACAAGCATCAAACATGAGATGGGTGTTCCTGAAATATGCATTTTTAAATCCCCCCAAATGTCCTCAAACGTATTATCAATATTCCTCAAATCCTGAAGCCTCATCGTGAAGCGTCTTGCAGAGTTTTATTTGTTGTTTTTTGTGAAGCACTCTAAGCTGCATAGTTGTACGAAAGGTGCTACATGTGTAAATAAGGTTAAAAGTGTCCTAAAGAGGAAGTGTTTTCGCTGCACTCTTCATGCACTTCCACTGAAGTGTCCTCTTCTGACGGCATGGTGCCAACACAGAGGAACAGACCTTAATGTCGGGTTGTTTCTTTGAACTGCACAGTTTTTCATGTCCATGTTTAAAATATCTATTTCTGTGTTGAAATGTGTGATGGAGACGTGGCAGCTGCAGCTGGATCACTGTACTGTAGTCTCAGATCAAGGTCATTGTTTTATTTGACTTTCTATATGGAGCAACTGTCACAGAACCCAATCACCCCTGGGGCAAATAAAGAGCGTTACCTTGAGCCAGGGGTGGTTCAGCGCCTCGTAGACGGTGATCCTCTCGGCCGGGTCGAGCATCAGCATCCTCCGAACCAGATCCTTCGCACTCTCTGAGATCTGAGCCCACTGCCGGGGATTCAACTGGACACACACACACACACACACACACACACACACACACACACACACACACACACACACACACACACACACACACACACACACACACACACACACACACACACACACACACACACACACACACACACACACACACACACACACACACACACACACACACACACACACACACACACACACACACACACACACACACACACACACACACACACACACACACACACACACACACACACACACACACACACACACACACACACACACACACACACACACACACAGCTTCATTTTACAGAGAAACTACAGCAAAAAACGGTATTTAAAACCAGACAGTTTGGGGTAAAATGTTTTATTATTTGCCTCATTTTGGACGAAGTTGGACTATAGTGGGAGTTTGTTTTATGTTTTATGAAAAGCCATGTCTCTTTGCACTATTTGACTTACAGTAAGCATGTATCCAGATACACTTTAAAAGGTCCCCTATTATGCAAAATCCCCTCTTATCCTCTTATGGGATGCTGCAATGATCCGTTTGGTGGTTCAGACAATCAGAGACATGTTCTGTAGATATCTGAGACCTGTGATATATTGTTGGAGAAGAGTAGAATAGGGGATATTTAAGAGCTTAGTTTATAGTACAGGATATTCTTTTAACAGTGCCGTGACTGAGCTGTAGGACATAATGGGAATGAAATGCAAATCCAGTTAAAGTGTGGGCTGATGCTTTTAGGGTTGGGTCTCCAACCACAACATTTAAACTCATAAAACACGTCTGGCTTTCCTTTTGTTGCATGAAGGAGAATTCTTGCTGTAACTCTTTAAGTCTGGTGTTTTATGTGCGTGCATCATCTCAATGTCTCACTCTTTAAACACTGTTGAACTGAAAGCAACATGAGGTTCATTCGGTTCAAATCTTAAGGCCCTTACTCCTCATGACTACATGAAATCATGCATCTGAAAATAGCTTAAAGCTACTGTTGCTACCAGTCTCTAATAATGTTATATCATGTGGTGAAATTGAGACATCTTATTATGCTAATTTGATCTTTTATTGGACATTTTATGACCCAAGTCTTATTTTTTGGTATAGATTTGACTGTCTGTAACTGTTATCTGATACTTTGCTTAACGAGCTACTGCCGGTCATTGCCAGGAAACTCTTGTTAAGAAGATTTTATATTTAAATGAGGCTTTTCCTGGTTAAATACATAAAAAACATATATTTCCTGCAGTTTTTTTGGTTCTCTGTTGCTAGTGTTGTAGTATTCGAGACCAGACTTTTTAAAGGTCTCGGTCTTGTCTCAGTCTCAGACCTATAGGACTCGAGATTTGATGTCAAGACTGGACAAGACCACGGCTGTGGCTGAGGATGTGATTAGGGTTTAATACCAGAATAAATAACAATGATCCGGTACCGGGATTAATAAGAGTTGTAAATGTAAGTGTATTATGTAGTGTTGGATTCACACTAGTCTGGTTCTGGTCTTGATTCAGTCTCGCCCTGACTTGGTCTTGGTCATGACTCGGTTTCGACCTCTTAAAGTCTTGGTAATGACTTTGTTTGTTTGTAGCCTTTATTTAACCAGGTTAAAAAATCCCATTGAGATCAACGATCTCTTTTTCAAGGGAGACCTGGGGTACATTGGTTACACATAAAAACAACAGAAAACAAAAAGGACATCACAACATTGGTCTTGGTCTTGACTTGGTTTCGACCTCTTAAAGTCTTGGTCATGACCAGAGTTGGGTGTAACGCGTTACTGTAATAATATTACTTTTGTCGGTAACGGAGTAGTGTAACGCGTTACTTTTATAATTCAGTAATCACACTACAGTTGCTAACATTGCCCCGACACGCGTTACTTCGTTACTTTTATAAAATCAGTCATAATCACACTGACAGACAAGAGGGGTTTCCGCCGCAGGTTTATATGTACGTAATCTGCGCGACTTGCGCGTCCACATCTCCACGTGCAGTGCTGCATAAACATGGCTGAGTCAGCGATAACTTTCGAGGGGTGGAGGTATGCCCATTATTTTGAGTTCGTCCGAAGAATAGACAGGAATGTGACGGTGAGGTGCAAACTGTGTCCAGGCCAGAAGCTGTTATCCACTGCTGCAAACACCACGTCAAACCTCAACAAACACCTGCAAAGAACACATGCTAAGGTGAAGCTAATAGCTAAGGACCCCCGAACCCAGAGTGAGGATGTTGTGAGTGCGCCGCCGCCGACTCCGAAGCAGCACAAATTAGAATTTGGAGGACCGGTAACCAAAGCAGAGATGGGCAAGCTTGTAGCATCCTTCATAGTAGAGGTAATGTTGCCCATTTGCACAGTGGAATCACCATCGCATCGTTCAGAGATATACTGCGCAAAATACAGATAGCAGGAGACAGAGGACAGCCATAGTCAGAGCTATCTGGATCAGTCTTATGCGACAATGGAAACTGAACTAAAGAGAACATTTGAAACTTTGGCAGTCTGCGTGATCTGCCTGTAGGGAGGGGCGGGCCGGCCCTGCGAGTAAAGTAACGAGTAAAGTAACGAGTAAAGTAACTAGTTACTTTATGTAGAGAGTAACGAAGTAGTGTAATATATTACTTTTTTTTTAAAGTAATATGTAATATATTACTTTTTTTTTAGTAACGACCCCATCTCTGGTCATGACTTGGTCTTGGTCTTGACTTAGTCTCAACCTCTTAAAGTCTTAGTCTTGTCTTGGTCTTGTTTCACTCCGGTCTTGGTCATAACTTGTTCTCTGTCCATGTGGTCTTGACTACAGCACTACCTGTTGGCCTCTGACCTTGTATTTTCCTCTGCAGATGACCTCGAACAGCCTCTCCTTGGTGCCGTAGAAAGGCAGGCAGCCAGAGAGCAGGATGAAGCAGATGACTCCGCACCCCCACACGTCCACAGGCTTCCCGTACGGCTCCCTCTTCACCACCTCGGGGGCCATGAAGTGAGGGGTCCCCACCCGACCTGTAGCACAGAGGAGGGGGGATTTAATATTTATAAAAGTCACGTAATCCCAGCGTATTCATATAGAGCAGGGGGGTCAAACTGAGGTGGGAGGTAGTGGAGTACAAATACTTTGTTACTGTACTTAAGTACATTTTTCTGATATCAGTACTTTACTCCACTACTTATTTTTCTGATGACTTTTTACTTTCTACTTCTTACATTTTGAACCCAAATACCTGTACTTTCTACTTCTTACATTTTGAACCCAAATACCTGTACTTTCTACTTCTTACATGTTGAACACAAATACCTGTACTTTCTACTTCTTACATGTTGAACCCAAATACCTGTACTTTCTACTTCTTACATGTTGAACACAAATACCTGTACTTTCTACTTCTTACATGTTGAACACAAATACCTGTACTTTCTACTTCTTACATGTTGAACACAAATACCTGTACTTTCTACTTCTTACATGTTGAACACAAATACCTGTACTTTCTACTTCTTACATGTTGAAACACAAATACCTGTACTTTCTACTTCTTACATGTTGAACACAAATACCTGTACTTTCTACTTCTTACATGTTGAACCCAAATACCTGTACTTTCTACTTCTTACATGTTGAACACAAATACCTGTACTTTCTACTTCTTACATGTTGAACACAAATACCTGTACTTTCTACTTCTTACATGTTGAACACAAATACCTGTACTTTCTACTTCTTACATGTTGAACCCAAATACCTGTACTTTCTACTTCTTACATGTTGAACACAAATACCTGTACTTTCTACTTCTTACATGTTGAACACAAATACCTGTACTTTCTACTTCTTACATGTTGAACACAAATACCTGTACTTTCTACTTCTTACATGTTGAACACAAATACCTGTACTTTCTACTTCTTACATGTTGAACACAAATACCTGTATACTTTCTACTTCTAACATGTTGAACCCAAATACCTGTACTTTCTACTTCTTACATGTTGAACCCAAATACCTGTACTTTCTACTTCTTACATGTTGAACACAAATACCTGTACTTTCTACTTCTCACATTTCCCAAACAGGCTGGTTCCTTTAGTTTGAATGTGTGTTTGGTGGCGTGATCATTATTATTTAGAGTCATTGCGTGCCTATTGATTTGAACACGATCCGTGTATCCATCATTTCCTGGTCTTCTCTAAAGAAGAGGGACCAATGAAAACGTTGTCATGTTGCCGTTGTTCAGCATGGAAACATTCATTAGCTAACAATGACATTATTGTTCTATTAATATAAAGGGAGGTCAGGTACTCTTTAAAACAGCTGCTAGTTATGGGTACTTTTACTGAAGTACATTTCAAAGCCCTCTTTACTTTGACTTGAGTAAAGAAGTTTAGTCAGTACTTCTACTTTTACCAGAGTATTTTTAAACACGAGTATCTGTACTTCTACTTGAGTAAAGGATGTGTGTACTTTTGCCACATCAGCATTATGGTTGCACTCAAAGGGCCGGTTGTAACTTTAAGACTACATAAATATACACACATATATATATAATAATAATGTATTATACGTTATTGACTCTGCATTGGATTATTATCGGATAGGGGAATAACTTCCTAATTAACTACGTCTGAAAGCAGAAGTCTAGGGCAAATCATTTCAAATAATTGCAAGTCTCTTCAGTGTCACAAAATGAGATGCATTGTGGGACATGTAGTTTATGGGCAACGTGCTTCTGTAAAGCGGCATGTAACCGTATAATAAACTCCTTTTATTCTTTGCAAGTGTATCCACAGACAGGTGAAACACACATTGCTGCAAATGCTTCATTTTTATAGTCCCTTAACTCGATTGATTTCCATTGAATTTAAAATAATATTAAGATGAGATAAGAAGCACTTTATTGATCCCAATTTTGGAAATGTTTGCGTTGCAGCAGCATCAAATACATGACATTGCACATAAGAGAAATTAAAAGACTAGAAATAAACAATCCAAAATGTAAACAACTCAATAGAAATAAAATAGCATTAAAAAAAATCAATATACATTTTGAAATACAAATGTATAGTAACAAAATATAAAGCAGAGTATTATATATACATTAAGTGTGTAAGGAATGGAATATTTAATATTAAATTGAACATCAATGTAAAATGTTCCGTGTGAGTTTAAGATTCTTTGCATAGAATTATGAGAGTATTATTTCTTAGCTTTACTTATATTTAGTGTATTTATTGACATTTTAGTGCAGATTTAAGTCTTGCAAACGTCTTCTTAATGTTGCTCTTTCTCCCAACATATTATTATTGCATCTTTAAGTCCTTACAGTATGTGAAGCATTTTGGGATGCATATGTATAGGAAAGGTGTTTGATAAATAAGGTTAAAAGGGTTGCAGTTGGAGAATCAGGAAGTGTTTTTGCTGCACTTGGAGAATATCTGTTCCCTTTGTATGAATGCATTGTTAAAAACCAGAACAGACCTAAAGGTGGATTTCCTTCTCCTTCATAACGTGATTCATATCAAGTTTTAAATCTGAAATGTCATGTTCTGGTTTGTAATGTGCAAAGGGAATTGCATCTGTGTTGCTGAGACCTCAAAGTGACCTCTTTTAGTTTGAATTAATCATCGCAGCTGTAGATTTCTCAAAGGGATACACACATATATATGAAGGTATTTATGTTACTTGTTTCTCTCCTAACTCTGTCCAAAAGGTTTTGATTACTACACTTTTTGGAGTCTGTACTTTAATTTGATTGGTCAATAAAAACAGCAATGTGTTTATGAGGCCTAACCAACACTGGGACTTTTACACACTCAAACTGAGCTTATTCTCACGCCTCTATTTTAATTGTTTAATGAACAAATGTCAGGGTTTGTTGGCCTCAGAGAGAGTTAGCTGCTTTATGAGGCTTCACTGGTGAGTCACACAGAAAAGCCCAGAAGTCACTCCTTAAGCCAGAAACTCTTCATAGGTCAATGCTACCGAATCAAACACTCCCACAACTCGCTGACTATGTCTTACATTTTGTAGAGGATGTACTTTTTAATGTCCTTTATTGTGGGCATGTATGTCCTGTATTTTGAGCCTCTATACTGCATGTTTTAAAGATTTTAATTAACGTTTATTTTAGTTTTTTGCGTGATTCTTAAACATTTTTCAATGGACTAGAGTTAAACAATGTTATATTGGCTAACTCTTGTTAATGTACACTTTCCCTGGTTAATGAAATCATCAAAAACAAAAATGTAATAAGAAAAATGTATATATAAACACAATTAATGTATGTTTGCAGGTGTGTGTACAGATGTGTTTGCAGATGTGTGTGCAGGTGTGTTTGCAGGTGTGTGTACAGATGTGTGTGTGCAGGTGTGTGTCCTGTACCTCCGGCCACCAGCCCAGACTCTCCCAGCTGGATGGCGACTCCGAATCCTCCGAGTTTCACCGGAGCTGAGTTCTCTTGGAGGCGAGCAGCACGCAGTGAGGCTGAGAACCAGAGAGAGGAGGAGGAGAAGAGAGAGAGAGAGAGAGAGAGAGAGAGAGAGAGAGAGAGAGAGAGAGAAGAGAGAAGAGAGAGAGAGAGGAGAGAGAGCGAGAGAGAGAGAGAGAGAGAGAGAGGAGAGAGAGAGAGAGAGATATTGTTTAGTCCCTATTAGAAGACACCCTCAACATGTGGAAAGACACTCCCAAAAAACCACCCAAACCAACGGTACCTCACACACAGGGGGAGGATCCTAGAGAGGATTCACGATTCAGATCTTCAGTCGGTTTTTAGGATATAATTAGCTGATTACATACAAGATTTGCTTCTGAACAAGATGTTTTATCTACATGACAGAAACTGGAAGAAACTACAGGGATTCCTTGAGGAAAAACTAATTGACTTGCAAATTTAATTTAAGCAAAACACGCTTCTAGGGTGAAAAAAAAATCCCACAATGTCACATTTGTACTGAAAGATAGTTTAATGACTAGAACCCTGGGTGAAGCAACTCAACCGTTACTTGACATGTCTTCAAGCTCTTTATTGTTCTCATACTGTCTGTGCTGCAGCACCTCTTTTCACCCTCTGTCTGAAACCAGAGCCCAGTCTGCTCTGATTGGTTAGCTGTCCGGCTCTGTTGTGATTGGTCAACCGCTTAGAGATGTCCCGCCCCCTTAGCCTATCACGTACAATGTGTTGGAGCGCTAGCCAATAGGAGTGTGAGTGTTCTGTAGTGATGTCACTTTGTTCAGGAAGTAAACAAAGGAGTCCACAAACCCCCCCCCCCCCAGGGCTTTTAGCCTTTGCAGACCATTTACATGCACTAACACAGTGGTTCTCAACTGGTGGGTCGCGACCCAAAAGTGGGTCGCGGATCCGTTTCGAGTGGGTCGCGGATGAGTGAGTGAAGAGGAAAAAAAAGTTTACATTTTTTTTATTTTTTTTTAAAACTTTTATTTTGAAGGCCCGTGAAAAACAAATAATGGCAGAAAATATTATTAATATGTCGGGTAGTAATAGATGTATTTATTTTCTTCTCAGAGTGTACCAGAATGTGTAGTTTATATGTTAGTATTTCTAAAAATCTCCTGGGGGAGAATCCCCCCAGACCCCCCTGCTGGGGTTGGGTTTTCAGCATGTGTGCCTTTTTATGTTATATAGTTCAGCTTTGATTCCATCATATCATTAAACCCTTTTAAAAGCATACTTTGGTTCTGTGAAGGGATATAAGGGATATATGCACTGTACTTCACTTTAATTAATATTGTATGCTGAAAAGCGTATATATATTACAGCACTATTTTTTGTTGAATAGATTTGAGTGGTTCAAAATGGTGGGTCGCGATTTATTGACAAAGTAAAAAGTGGGTCCCGAGGCCTGACCAGTTGAGAACCACTGCACTAACATATAGAACACACTACAGTAAAGGAGAAAACCACAAAAGCACAATAGGACCTCTTCAACCAAAAACCAAGTCTCTCTTTAAACTCCTCAAAAATAAATATGACATGTTATCTGAACGAATGAAAGCCAATATAAGGCAAGGCAAGTGTATTTATAGAGCACCTTTCAACACAAGGCAATTCAAAAGGCACATGAATAAAAGTGACAGTGTGAGAAGTGAATAGTTCAATTCAAAGCAGCGGCAAACAGAAAAGTCTTCAGCCTGGATTTCAAAGTAGTCAGAGTTGCAGCATATGTGAAGCATGAGAACTGAACGCTGCTATAAGGTAGATATTCTACTTTCCACCACTGATTGTGTTTTTCGATCACCAGTGGGTGCTCTGTAATCTGCTCAAACCCCTCCCTGTCTTTCTGTCTCAATCTGAATTCGGCAGAAAGAGGCGGGCTGACCACAGCTTTAACTTTCCTCCGTACATAAACCACACGTTGCATTTTAGAAACCGTTTGTATTTCTGTCCTCGGCGCTGCGGGGGAGGTTTGCTCACAGAGAGGAAGTTATATTTGGTGGATGAAACACAGACTTCGTGAACTTTATGAGGACATGTTGGAGAGTTCTTCACATGGATTAAACTCAAGGGGATAAACTGGAGTGAAAGACGGGAAGAAGTGCAAGAAGAAAGAACGTCTTTTTGAAATGGACTTCAATGATTAGGTGAGCACGTCTTTTACAGCAACATGTTTTTATCGTGTTGCTCGGGCTGCAAGATAAGGGCTTCCTGCTGTGAGTTTCTGTTTCTGATGGAATGATTCTGCAGAAATACTTCATGCAACTCATCTGTTTTACATGACTCCAAGATAACATCACATGCAAAGTTATACAGAGTTATCTATGAGGATCTTTGGGTTGGTTTGGTTCTGTGAAGGCTAGTCTATACAGACCTTAGATGGCTTCACCCCCCTTTAAAGTCCTTTTAGCATTGATGTTTTTACGTTTATTCAATGTATAATAATCCATTTCCTTGCCAGGTGTTTTGTTTTACGTAGTCTTTATTTTATTTTAAAATGTATTGGGACTTTGCGGCATGTTGTTTCCTGCACTTTAAATCAATATTTTAATCTTACTTATTTGAAACATAACTGTGTATGTAGTATATTTCTGTTATATCCTCTACCCGTCTTCTCCTACTTGGCTTTGGACTTTCTAAATGTATATTGTTATTATTTGCTTTATTTGCTTGTAAAGCGTCTTTTATTTCTACTATAATAATAATAATAATAATTAAAATAATGCATTATCACGATTTTTATTTAACCTAATAATCATAGTAAATAATGTATTAATAATAATATAATTAAAGTAATACTTTTATAATATTTCATGATAATTGTATTATTATTTTAGAAATATACTAGAATTATTATTATATTTCAATATAATTTAATTCAAATGATTTAACTCATTTTATTTCATTATTAGTATATTATTTCTGTATTGAGCAACTGTCACAAAACCTCAAATAAAGTATTGTACATGTTTTTCTCTTTGTTTAGCTGCACCTTGGCTATTAGACTTAATAGATCAAACGTGTAGTACTTTACTATATTTAGGTAAATTGAGACTAATAAACCAGCACTTAAAAGTAATATGGCTTTGAAGCAAATGTACTTGCAGGATTACGTTGTCTGAGTTTGATCTTCATGGTTTATTGCACTCACTTTAAGTGGCTTAGTATAAAAGTTTCAACACAATGAAATGTACTTAAATGTCTAATTTGAGCTGCACTGTCCCTTTGCTGCTGGAACTCTGTAAATATCCCCCACAATAAAGCATTTCTGTTTCTATATTTTCTAGGAACGACCATCACAGAAGCCACCATGACCACAAACATCTCTTCCCAGACTCCCAACAACGAGTCCTGTGTGGATCCGAAGGCGCTTCAGAGCCCTTTGGCGGTTCTCTACTCTATAATCTTCATCCTGGGACTCGTTGGGAACCTCGTGGCTTTATGGGTCTTCTTCTGCGTTAGCTCCAAGAAGAACTCTGTGCGGGTGTTTCTCATAAACGTTGCGTTCGCTGATCTGCTTCTGGTTGTGTGTTTGCCGTTCAGAATCTTTTATCACAGCCGAGGGAACGAGTGGACGCTTGGACCCACGCTGTGTAAAGTTGTAGGGAATTTCTTCTATATGAACATGTATATAAGCGTCACTTTGCTGGGTCTGATCAGCGTGGATCGGTACCTGAAGATCCACAGAGGCACGGGGGTGCAGTCCCGGCTGAGGTCCACCAGGGGGAGCTGGTTTCTGTGTGCTGGGGTTTGGATCATCGCCTTCACTTTCACCACGGTGTTTCTGGTGTCCAAAAACCACTCTGAGCAGGACAGGTGGGTCACAGAATGCTACTTTCATTTGTATTGGTCCAAGCATCAGAGATGGCAAGAGTGCACACATCCTTTACTCAAGTAGAAGTACACACATCCTTTACTCAAGTAGAAGTACACACATCCTTTACTCAAGTAGAAGTACACACATCCTTTACTCAAGTAGAAGTACACACATCCTTTACTCAAGTAGAAGTACACACATCCTTTACTCAAGTAGAAGTACACACATCCTTTACTCAAGTAGAAGTACACACATCCTTTACTCAAGTAGAAGTACACACATCCTTTACTCAAGTAGAAGTACACACATCCTTTACTCAAGTAGAAGTACACACATCCTTTACTCAAGTTAAAGTACACACATCCTTTACTCAAGTAGAAGTACACACATCCTTTACTCAAGTAGAAGTACACACATCCTTTACTCAAGTAGGAGTACACACATCCTTTACTCAAGTAGAAGTACACACATCCCTTACTCAAGTAGAAGTACACACATCCTTTACTCAAGTAGAACACACATCCCTTTACTCAAGTAGAAGTACACACATCCCTTACTCAAGTAGAAGTACACACATCCTTTACTCAAGTTAAAGTACACACATCCTTCACTCAAGTAGAAGTACAGATACTCGTGTTTAAAAATACTCTGGTGAAAGTAGAAGTACTGACTAAACTTCTTTACTCAAGTAAAAGTAAAGAAGTATGGGCTTTGAAATGTACTTCAGTAAAAAGTACCCATAACTAGCAGCTGTTTTAAAGAGTACCTGATCTCCCTTTATATTAATAGAACAATAATGTCATTGTTAGCTAATGAATGTTTCCATGCTGAACAACGGCAACATGACAACGTATTAAAAAACACATGCAAACTCATCTGTTTTACATGAATCCAAGATATCATCACATGCAAAGAAGTACAGAGTTATCTATGAGGATCTTTGGGTTGGTTTACTACAAGCTTTCTGTGAAGGCTAATCTATACAGACCTTAGATGGCTTCACCCCCCTTTAAAGTCCTTTTAGCATTGATGTTTTTATGTTTATTGAATGTATAATAATCTATTTATTTGCCAGGTGTTTTGTTTTACGTAGTCTTTTTTTTATTTGAAAGTGTATTGGGACTTTGCTGCATGTTGTTTTCTGCCTGTTTGGAAAATGTAAGAAGTAGAAAGTACAGGTATTTGGGTTCAACATGTAAGAAGTAGAAAGTACAGGTATTTGGGTTCAAAATGTAAGAAGTAGAAAGTACAGGTATTTGTGTTCAACATGTAAGAAGTAGAAAGTACAGGTATTTGGGTTCAAAATGTAAGAAGTAGAAAGTACAGGTATTTGGGTTCAAAATGTAAGAAGTAGAAAGTACAGGTATTTGGGTTCAAAATGTAAGAAGTAGAAAGTACAGGTATTTGGGTTCAAAATGTAAGAAGTAGAAAGTACAGGTATTTGAGTTCAACATGTAAGAAGTAGAAAGTCCAGGTATTTGGGTTCAAAATGTAAGAAGTAGAAAGTACAGGTATTTGGGTTCAACATGTAAGAAGTAGAAAGTACAGGTATTTGGGTTCAAAATGTAAGAAGTCAAAGTAAAAAGTCGTCAGAAAAATAAGTCGTGGAGGAAAGTACTGATACCAGAAAAATTTACTTAAGTACAGCAACGAAGTATTTGTACTCCATTCCTTTCCAAGCATTTATGATAAGGGTGAAAAGTTAAAGTGGCCCTATCATGCTATATTTGAATAATATAGTGTAGGACCATACCTAAATAAGGCATATTTATACTTTTTTTTTTCAAAATACCAAACAGATCATGCATTTCAGCCATGCCTCATTTTGCTCAATTTGACAATTTCTAGCTCTGGGCAGATTCAGTGAGAACAGCACCATCTACAGGCCTGGCATATGTACTACAGCGTCTCCAGCGCTTTCAAACGGCAATGGCCGTGGCTGTCTCCTCCTGATTGGTGGAGAGTTGGCCCAATAGCCGTAGCGCCACCGTCCTGACGTCAGGACAGTGTTCAAATCTGGATCAGTTTTTATCAGATCCGTTGCAGCCCCTTTTTTAGAGATTTGGGTATGGAGGAAAATAGAGAGGGTTGTGTTTTCTGACACTTGGTGAGTTCCCTGGAACACCGGGGACACATATTCATGTATAAAAGACGTACAAAAGTGCATTTTGCATGATAGGTCCCCTTTAAGTTTTTTATCGATCCAGTAAAGTTGTGCAGGCTCTTTCACAGCTTCAGTCTTCAGTATAACGTAGAAAATATGTGACCTCATCCCAACTCATTTACCCTCGCATACATACCTAAGAAACTAGGGATAAGGATTTTATAAAAGTGTAAAAAGCACAGACTTAAATGTACCAGCTTCAGTGCGGTCTGCAGATTGGCAACACTATAAACAATTCTTTATCTTGGTCTGTCTTTAAAAAAAAAAACGCTTGGTTGTGAAGCAATTAAGTCAGAGATTGAAGACGCTGATTGGCTGTGGACTCTCCTCTGAAATGCAGTATGTTTTTCAACAAGTTATCAGCCAATAAAAGTAGTTATTCCCAGAGGATTGTTGACATCCACCTGGATTCAGCTTCTTAACCATAGACACATGTATTTCCAAGCATTTGGACTACCTATGTTGTAAATGTAGTATCTTTTCAATTTACACACGACATCTATTGCACGTCTGTCCGTCCTGAGTGTGGTCTGCAGATTGATAACACTATAAAAATATTTTTATCTTGGTCTGTCTTTAAAAAAAAACCTCCTTTTGAAGCAAATAGGTCAGAGATTGAATATGCTGGAAGGCTGGGATATGTTTTCGACAAGTTATCAGCCAATAAAAGTATTTATCCTGACTCATTTTGACCCTGTTTTCTGCCTCCAGATGTTTCCACTACAAGCTCCTTGACCACGCGAAGTGGAAAGCCTACATCAACATCTGCATGCTGGTTCTCTTCTGGCTGGTCTTCGTGTCTCTGGTGGTTTCTTACGCCAAGATCGCCCTCAAACTCCAAAGGATATCAAAGGAGAAACCAGACCTTCCCAACGCCGCCCGATACAAACGCACCGCCAGAAAGTCCTTCTTCATCCTCTTCCTCTTCACCGTCTGCTTCGTCCCATATCACATCGTCCGGGTTTTCTACATAAAAACGCAGATCACAGATACGGCGTGTATCTGGAGGGGCGTGGCAGATAAAGCTAACGAGGTGGCGTTGCTTTTCTCGGCCCTGAACAGCTGCCTGGACCCCGTCATGTACTTCCTGTTGTCTTCGTCTGTGAGGAAGGAGGTTCTGCGCCTGGTGAGCAGCGTGTTCTGTGTGCGAGATGCTAATGGAGTTAGCGGTAGCAGCTCCACGGTGGAGAACGTGAGGTCGGAGAGAGGACAGGCGAACATACACTTAAGCAGCCAATTAAAGGAGGAGACAACCCAGTGATGACGTATTATAGCAGGCCGAGTTAGCATCCAGGGGGCTGCCTCAATACATAAACAAGCTAAAGGTGGCTAATGTTAGGCTATAAAGGAACTACAGCACGGTCACATGACTTCACGTCAACACCGCTAAGCTAAAGGTGGCTAATGTTGGGCTATAGAGGAACTACAGCACGGTCACATGACTTCACGTCACCACCGCTAAGCTAAAGGTGGCTAATGTTGGGCTATAAAGGAACTACAGCACGGTCACATGACTTCACGTCACCACCGCTAAGCTAAAGGAGGCTAATGTTGGGCTATAAAGGAACTACAGCACGGTCACATGACTTCACGTCACCACCGCTAAGCTAAAGGTGGCTAATGTTGGGCGTGATGACGTTTAGTCGTCTCATTGAGACACTTGTTACCAACCGCTGTTTCTAAATCCACCAGGGTGTTATTTACTGAAGTATTTTATGTGGTAGAACAAAACATGTATTTATGTATTACAACAGACCAGGCTAACAACCAAGAAATACAAAAAACCATTGACTTCCAGTAGAGGAAACAGGAATTTCTAAAATGCTGATTAATTTCCGGGTTTTTAGACTCATTCCTGCACCACTTAAAACCTTGTAACAGTCTGTTCTGAACCCCAGCAGCAGTGGCAATAGATGGACTGTAATGCAGCCCGAGTTGCAATATCTTGCCTCCAGAATTTGCAATGCAGGAATTCCTCTTACAAAAGCATCTTGAATTACCGCCGTCTTTATCCAGTGACCAATTGTACCTGTTTAGAAAAAATAGTGCAGCAGCAGCATCAGTTTTTATGTTACGTCATCTTCCAGCAGTTTCTGAAGCATTTTGTAACTTACATCCATAAATAATGTAATATATATACTGCTTTTATTATCCTTTTTGAGTGAATAAACAATATGTATGAGATAAATGAGTCAAACGTGTATAGCTATTCTGTCATTTTGCCCAAAAATGCCATATTTATTGTGTCAAACTGCAAAAAAAATTGAACTCTTTGACGGTGGGGCAATGCTTAATTTTCTCCATATTTAATGGAAATACATCAAAAACTAGTTGAGATATTTCAGTCTGGATTGAAGTAAAGGGACTTTTTCTTGCAGGTAAAGTATATTTCATATTTCCCACGGTGTACATTAGTGGAACAAGACACTATCACCAAGAAAATGATTTTTACGGAATCTGAGATCAAGTACTGCTGGAATAAAAGCAACCGAACCCTGCAGATAATGAGTGTGACGTTTTTCCTTCACACAAATGTGAAAGGAAATAAGTTGCAGACGACTTCAAAGCCTAGACTTTCACGACAAATTACAAAGATCACAAGCTCACAGAAAACCCAGAGGAGCTTTTACTGAGATGAAAGCGTCTGACGTCACAGACAGAAACATAAAAAACACTGTGTAAAAGTCAGGAGCTTCTCTGATATGTAAAGAACATGCTTTCATACTCAGGAGGGTGACTACACGTTGTTTTTATTTACTACGTCATTCTATTTGGTGTCAATCATTATCTACAGTGTGACAGGAGGGAGGAGAATATGCTCCAGAAATAGAACTAGAACAACAGCGCCATCTAGAGGAGGAGCAGGTACTTAGAAATGTGTATATAAGAGTATTTCCACACTGCAGTATTACTTAGTTTGACCTCTGCCTAAATAGAGAAGAGGGTATCTGAGAGGCCTAAAATGTATTCACACATTTAAATACATGTTCAGGTGTATATCAGTATGTAGTGTCTCTACTTTAAAGAGTCCTCTCCTGCTGATGTTCAGGTGTATATCAGTATATAGTGTCTCTACTTTAAAGAGTCCTCTCCTGCTGATGTTCAGGTGTATATCAGTATATAGTGTCTCTACTTTAAAGAGTCCTCTCCTGCTGATGTTCAGGTGTATATCAGTATGTAGTGTCTCTACTTTAAAGAGTCCTCTCCTGCTGATGTTCAGGTGTATATCAGTATGTAGTGTCTCTACTTTAAAGAGTCCTCTCCTGCTGATGTTCAGGTGTATATCAGTATGTAGTGTCTCTATTTTAAAGAGTACTCTCCTGCTGATGTTCAGGTGTATATCAGTACGTAGTGTCTCTACTTTAAAGAGTCCTCTCCTGCTGATGTTCAGGTGTATATCAGTATGTAGTGTCTCTACTTTAAAGAGTCCTCTCCTGCTGATGTTCAGGTGTATATCAGTATGTAGTGTCTCTACTTTAAAGAGTACTCTCCTGCTGATGTTCAGGTGTATATCAGTATGTAGTGTCTCTACTTTAAAGAGTCCTCTCCTGCTGATGTTCAGGTGTATATCAGTATGTAGTGTCTCTACTTTAAAGAGTCCTCTCCTGCTGATGTTCAGGTGTATATCAGTATGTAGTGTCTCTACTTTAAAGAGTCCTCTCCTGCTGATGTTCAGGTGTATATCAGTATGTAGTGTCTCTACTTTAAAGAGTCCTCTCCTGCTGATGTTCAGGTGTATATCAGTATGTAGTGTCTCTACTTTAAAGAGTCCTCTCCTGCTGATGTTCAGGTGTATATCAGTATGTAGTGTCTCTACTTTAAAGAGTCCTCTCCTGCTGATGTTCAGGTGTATATCAGTATGAAGTGTCTCTACTTTAAAGAGTCCTCTCCTGCTGATGTTCAGGTGTATATCAGTATGCAGTGTCTCTACTTTAAAGAGTCCTCTCCTGCTGATGTTCAGGTGTATATCAGTATGTAGTGTCTCTACTTTAAAGAGTCCTCTCCTGCTGATGTTCAGGTGTATATCAGTATGTAGTGTCTCTACTTTAAAGAGTCCTCTCCTGCTGATGTTCAGGTGTATATCAGTATGTAGTGTCTCTACTTTAAAGAGTCCTCTCCTGCTGATGTTCAGGTGTATATCAGTATGTAGTGTCTCTACTTTAAAGAGTCCTCTCCTGCTGATGTCCAGGTGTATATCAGTATGTAGTGTCTCTACTTTAAAGAGTCCTCTCCTGCTGATGTCCAGGTGTATATCAGTATGTAGTGTCTCTACTTTAAAGAGTCCTCTCCTGCTGATGTTCAGGTGTATGTTCGACTGTTGTGATTGGTCAACCGCTTAGAGATGTCCCGCCCCCTTAGCCTATCAAGTACAATGTGATGGAGCGCTATCCAATAGAAGTGCGAGTGTTACATAGTGATGTCATTATGGTCCAGAAGTAAACAAAGGAGTCCAAGAGAAAAAAAACATTTACGACACCTGTATCTCACTCTACAGGGAAGTCAACTCCCCAAAAAGCAGAACAGGGCGTCACTAAAATATGCATTATTTGTACTTTAAAAAGTGTCACCAGCTCACACAGATAAAGCGCTGCTGTGAACATGCACCACACATCTCATGTACTAAAATACTCATGCACAGTACCACAGCTTGACCCTCATCTCTTAAACCGTATCTCTCATCAACCCACAGCGTAACTGAGGAAGTGGAACCTGAAATAGCGAGAGACGCCAACATGTCGTGTTTAGAGCAGCTCTGATGTGAAATGACACAAACACAAACCTGAAGTACCGTAAAAAAAAACAGGAAGTCTGAGAAAAGATTCACATCGAGCCGGAGAGTTGTTTTTACTTTGAGCTGTGAATGTTACATTTAAAGAACTGTGAATGTTACATTTAAAGAACTGTGAATGTTACATTTAAAGAACTGTGAATGTTACATTTAAAGAACTGCAGCCGTTTGTTGACCTGGACGGAGCTCCTGTTAGAGGTACGTATACGAATGATTGCACCGTGAAATAACTCGATTTGAAAGGGTTTAATCAAAATGTAACATACAGTAACATGCTCAAACGTTGTTGTTTAAATATAGCATGATATATATATTTGTTATGAACACGTATTGGAGGATATTTTGGGTTCATTTGTTGGTTACAAGACAGGAGCAAAGGATTGTCGATTCAAATAATAATAGGAGAGTTTTTTTAAGCATTTTGATTTGACATTTGAAAACAAATTTTAGATTTATGCTTTTTTAAAAGTGCTTGGATTTAAATTCAAGCCCAAATGTGTGCAGACATACATCGATAAGATCCTTTTACAATTACTAAGACAATTCATCGTCAAAATAAATGTATTTATGAACAACGAGAGAGCGCTGGACTTGGAATCAGGGGAGCACAGGTTCAAACCCCACTGCAGTCAGCATGTCGTTGTGTCCCTGAAGACACTTCACCCCAAAGTGTCCACAGTACTGAATGTATGCAAGTCGCTTTGGATAAAAGCGTCTAACAAATGACATGTAATGTAATACGTACTTTAATAATGTCAAAAGCGTTGATTTAATGTTAAAAAAAGACTTTAAGACTGTTTAAAGGAGTTTGGGATGAACCTTAAGACTAAACTTTGCAACGTCAGAAACAAGTCTTAAGACTTCCCGTGTCTTAAGACTTTTTTTAAAGATTGATTTACGCCATTTTAATATCAATGAGGACCTTATTGTCTCACCTTTTAAGATTCAAGGCTTCATCATCATGAGCTCAGCAGCTACAGTGTAGATATGGCAATGACAAACTGAAGTCCCAGGCTCCTCCAACAGAGCAACAGGAATATATATAGGACATCAAACAAATACAACAGATACAATAGTGTAAGAGAATGTTTTGAGATGTGCAAAAATGTAAATAGAATTTTTTAATTGACCTAAAAAACAGGAATCCTGCGTAAAAGTGGTGACCATTATAACTTAATGTTGTGTCAAATTATCATATCATTATTTATTATCATATTCTCACAGATAAGCATATATTATGTATTTTACTCCGATTGTTTTTCACTCTGTTAAATAGTATTTTTTTGTCTTGTATGTGTGTAACAGACATATGTTAAGTTATAACAAAAGACAAACTTTGTCAAAGAATCATTTATCAGTTTCTCTCAAGGGAATTAGAATTTCCTCCACACTTAATAAACATCCTCCACATGTGTCTGTCTCTCATCCATCACTGTTGTGTCTCTTCAGATCAAATGGAGAACATTTCCTGTGTCTTAAGACCGTTTAAAAGATTGATTCATGCCATTTTAATACCAATGAGGGCCTTATTGTGTCTCCGGGTTTCTCACTTTTAAAACAGGAACCCTGCATACAACTGGTGACCGTTATAACTTGAAGCTCACCTATTGTGCAAAATCCTCTTCCTCATGTCTCTTCTACATCAGCATGTGTCCCCTCTTCTTCATGTCTCTTCTACATCAACATGTGTCCCCTCTTCTTCATGTCTCTTCTTCATCAACATGTGTCCCCTCTTCTTCATGTCTCTTCTTCATCAACATGTGTCCCCTCTTCTTCATGTCTCTTCTTCATCAACATGTGTCCCCTCTTCTTCATGTCTCTTCTTCATCAACATGTGTCCCCTCTTCTTCATGTCTCTTCTTCATCAACATGTGTCCCCTCTTCTTCATGTCTCTTCTTCATCAACATGTGTCCCCTCTTCTTCATGTCTCTTCTTCATCAACATGTGTCCCCTCTTCTTCATGTCTCTTCTACATCAACATGTGTCCCCTCTTCTTCATGTCTCTTCTTCATCAACATGTGTCCCCTCTTCTTCATGTCTCTTCTTCATCAACATGTGTCCCCTCTTCTTCATGTCTCTTCTTCATCAACATGTGTCCCCTCTTCTTCATGTCTCTTCTTCATCAACATGTGTCCCCTCTTCTTCATGTCTCTTCTTCATCAACATGTGTCCCCTCTTCTTCATGTCTCTTCTACATCAACATGTGTCCCCTCTTCTTCATGTCTCTTCTTCATCAACATGTGTCCCCTCTTCTTCATGTCTCTTCTTCATCAACATGTGTCCCCTCTTCTTTCATGTCTCTTCTTCATCAACATGTGTCCCCTCTTCTTCATGTCTCTTCTTCATCAACATGTGTCCCCTCTTCTTCATGTCTCTTCTTCATCAACATGTGTCCCCTCTTCTTCATGTCTCTTCTTCATCAACATGTGTCCCCTCTGTGGAAAGAGACTCTGAAAGTTTCAGGAACAAAGATTCTCTCTCTTTTTGATCCATTTCTATAAAAACCTGTCTGAAAATGAGCTGATCAGATTTTGGCCACTTGATGATGTCATAACGATGTTTTGTCTTGTGTAACCATTAGCCAATCACCAACCAAGGTAACCCCCCCCCACCTTATCCCCTGAATCTCCTCATAGAGCACCATTGAGTTCTTTGTAACCAAATCTCTCTCAGAGGGGCGTGGGGAGGGGCTCCTTATTTTCATCTAAAGTAACAGACAGAGAATCAGCACTTTGGAAACAGGGCTGAAACAGAGGGGATTATGGGTAATGCTGCAATGATCTGTTTGGTGTTTCAGCCAATCAGAGACAGGCTCTGGATATATCTGAGACCTGTGATATATTGATGAGAAACAGTATGATAGGGGACCTTTAACAAACATGTTTCTCCCTCTCATCCATCACTTTGTGTCTCTTCAGATCAAATGGAGAACATTTCGACCCCTTTCCCTCTGGATAACTCCTCCCTCTCTTCCTCTTTTCTCTCCCTTTGTCCCACTTTCACCACCCTCTTCTTCCTCCCCTCTGCCTACACCCTCCTCTTCCTCACCGCTCTCCCAGGAAACATCCTCTCTTTGTGGGTGTTTCTCCGCTGCATCTCCACTGTCTCCCCCATCCACGTCTACCTGTCTCACCTGAGCATCTCCAACCTGATTCTGTCTCTCACCACTCCCTTCCTGGCCGCTTACTACGCGTGGGGCTCTGATTGGACGCTGAGCAGCACTCTGTGTCAGCTGGTTCTTCACGGCATCACCCCGGTGCTGCACATCAACATCTACATCAGCATCATGATCCTCACCTGGCTGGCGCTGAGCCGCTTCGCCTCCCTCATACAGGTGTGACTAAAACAATATCTATTATACCCTTTTTCCATCAAACCAGGTCCCAGTGTGAACCAGTTCTTCCTGTTTCCACCACAGCGGGGCATTACATCTGTACAAGTTGTCATAAAAATATCCAATTTGCATTAAAGAGAAAGGCATTCTTTAAACAAATCAATATATATCCAATGTTAGAATGAAAAAATAAAGAAAGTTGCCATATTTGTACTCCTGGTGGGCGGATTTTCACACATTTCTGGTACATTTGAAAGTTTAAGGGGACTCAAAACTGCCATTTTTTATCCTAAAAATGTCAGAAATTGATTCAACAACCTCCAAAACAACTCAAAAATCGGCCAAGCCATTTTTGACTATTTCCCCACATAATGGCTATAATGCCAATTAATGCAACTTTGGCCAATTGCCCAACATATCCAAGTTAGCATCCGGAAGTTTTAATGTGCTGAGGACCCCTACTTTACATTTCTAGCATAACACTTTGGGGTTCTCAACATTTCCGTGTTCACACAGCTGGCAAGTAAACTTAATTACTCTTAATGTCTTTCATTTTAGTAAAACACTTTGAATTGCCCTGGTCAATTTTAAAGTTTTAAGGGACACAAAACTGCCAATTTGTCAGAAATGGATTCATCATCCTTCAAAACCACTTCAAAATTGTCCAAATAGGCCAAGCCACTTTCAGACTATTGTCCACATAGACTATAATGCCAACATTACTCAACATTTCCAGGTTCACACAGGTGGCAAGTAGACTTAATTACTCTTAATGCATTTCATTATTGTAAAGCATCGAACACTTGTCTTTCCTTTCCTCTTCCAGCACACCCACGCCTCCAGACCCAATCGGTGCATCGCCTTTCTTCCTCACGGTTTCTTCTCCCGCCTCAAGAGAACGTCCTTCGCCAACAGAGTTTGCATCGTCGTGTGGTCGGTGGCTATCGGAGGCGTGGTACCCGTCACCGTTATTTACTCCGTGAAGGAAACGGTGAGCGTGAAAAAAGCTGTTGTTGGATGTACGGAGGTTTGCTACAGCCCAACGGTGGAGATCGGAGGAAGACTTTCTGCTGGTTTGGCCGTGATCGTGATTGCTCTGTTCTTCCTCTTCTACCTGCTGGTTCTGATGTCTTATATGATGGTTCTGAGGCATATTGGGCGATCACGGAAAAGCACGAACGTCACTACGTCTCAAAGTCTGCTGGGGAGGGTGCTACGAAACATCGTGGTCATACAGGTGAGTGTGAGGCATATACAGTATCCTACTCTAAAGTAACGTCTTCAAAAAGGCACAATAAGTAGGATAAGTCTGTTTTGGGTTGTTGACAAAATCTTGGTGTTTCGTGAATGGTGTTTTTCTATCACTGTTTCCACCATTTCTGTAGCTTCTTATGGCGCGTTTCCACTACAGCGCGGAGCACGGTTTAAGAGGGCTGTGACGTCAGCGGCCCGTCTTTGGTTGCGTTTCCACTTGGCCTAGTACCGGCCGGCGGGTCCTAATTCACAGTTTTTCTGGCCTCATAAAATCGTGGGTCTAGGGCCAGAGACAACGAGGCTGAGTCGGGCTGAATATGCTAAACTAGAGAGAGCATAGCTGGCAAGGGGGCAACAACTACAACAAGATGGACATATTTGACCGTGATTTAATTGTAATACACGTTTCAAAATGATGCCGAAGTAACAACATACTGATACCGGTTAGTAAAAACCATGAATTAATGCTTTGACAAGTCTGCAGACAGACGGCAGGCGAAAAACCTTTTAAAATGCGTGTTTTCTAAATGGAGATTGGCTAAGCTAACGCAGTATATGCTCCAACCGTCCACACTCACAACAACGGCCTATACAGACATAAATAAAGCAGCGACTGTATTCACCATGACACAGGCAGTCTGTGGTTTGTACTTGTTTAACTTTTGTCTAGTTTCTGAACAGATATGAGGAGCTGTGAGCTCTGAGTGCTAACAGCTAACGGCTGTGTTGTTTTTCTGGGGTTCTCATTGAAGATGACGTCACGGCTCCGCCTACACTGCGTTACTATAGATACTACCCCAGTTCCTAAACTGTAATGGAAATGCGCCATAAAGTGAGCCAGTCCTAACGAGGCCTAGCCATACCGAGCGAGGCCGTGTAGTGGAAATGCGCCATAATTGGAAACTTCCTTACAATCTAGCACCTTGAATCTTGTTTTGTTTTTTAGGTTGACGCCAAGAAGTCCCAAACAAAGAACAATCTAAATAAAGTATATTGTTTATCAGCCTTACTCTAAAGTAACGTCTTCAAAAAGGCACAATTAGTAGGATAAGTCTGTCTTGGTTTGAAGACAAAATCTTGGTGTTTCGTGAATGGTGTTTCTCTAGCACTGTTTCCACCATTTTCGTAGCTTCCAATTGGACACTTGCTTACAATGTAGCACTTTGAATATTGGTTTTCATTGAGGTTGACGGCAAGAAAATCCCAAACTCGTAAGAATAAAATATATCGTTAATTAGCCTGTCAAAAAGCCCTGCTGCTTTATCGTCCATTTGACTCATGATTGGACCATAACCGACTAAATGAACAACATGCTGTATTGAAGAAGACGTGAAACTACAGATTGAGATCAATAACAACCAGAACTGTGTGTCTTTTATTTAAACCATCTCTTCTCAGGTTGTTCTCTCGGTTTGCCTGCTGCCGTATCACATCTACAAACCCATCTTCATCTCTCTGGCTAACGACCAACGACAGCTGAGATATTTACCGGGACCAAACATCTGTAAACAGTGCCATCCATTCTCCATCTTAGTCGAGGTGACGCCATCTTTCTTTCCTTATTAGGAATCACTACATACTGATATACATCTGAACATCAGCAGGAGAGGACTCTTTAAAGTAGAGACACTACATACTGATATACACCTGAACATCAGCAGGAGAGGACTCTTTAAAGTAGAGACACTACATACTGATATACACCTGAACATCAGCAGGAGAGGACTCTTTAAAGTAGAGACACTACATACTGATATACACCTGAACATCAGCAGGAGAGGACTCTTTAAAGTAGAGACACTACATACTGATATACACCTGAACATCAGCAGGAGAGGACTCTTTAAAGTAGAGACACTACATACTGATATACACCTGAACATCAGCAGGAGAGGACTCTTTAAAGTAGAGACACTACATACTGATATACACCTGAACATCAGGAGGAGAGGACTCTTTAAAGTAGAGACACTACATACTGATATACATCTGAACATCAGCAGGAGAGGACTCTTTAAAGTAGAGACACTACATAATGATATACACCTGAACATCAGCAGGAGAGGACTCTTTAAAGTATAGACACTACATACTGATATACACCTGAACATCAGCAGGAGAGGACTCTTTAAAGTAGAGACACTACATACTGATATACACCTGAACATCAGCAGGAGAGGACTCTTTAAAGTAGAGACACTACATACTGATATACACCTGAACATCAGCAGGAGAGGACTCTTTAAAGTAGAGACACTACATAATGATATACACCTGAACATCAGCAGGAGAGGACTCTTTAAAGTAGAGACACTACATACTGATATACACCTGAACATCAGCAGGAGAGGACTCTTTAAAGTAGAGACACTACATACTGATATACACCTGAACATCAGCAGGAGAGGACTCTTTAAAGTAGAGACACTACATACTGATATACATCTGAACATCAGCAGGAGAGGACTCTTTAAAGTAGAGACATCACATACTGATATACACCTGAACATCAGCAGGAGAGGACTCTTTAAAGTAGAGACACTACATACTGATATACACCTGAACATCAGCAGGAGAGGACTCTTTAAAGTAGAGACACTACACACTGATATACACCTGAACATCAGCAGGAGAGGACTCTTTAAAGTATAGACACTACATACTGATATACACCTGAACATCAGCAGGAGAGGACTCTTTAAAGTAGAGACACTACATACTGATATACACCTGAACATCAGCAGAGAGGACTCTTTAAAGTAGAGACACGACATACTGATATACACCTGAACATCAGCAGGAGAGGACTCTTTAAAGTAGAGACACTACATACTGATATACACCTGAACATCAGCACAACATGTCCTCTTTAATACAAATACATCTCCTCTCTCTCCTCTTCCTCCAGCTGAAGAACTGTTTGCTGCTTTTGGCCGCTTTGAGAGGATCCACGGACCCTATAATGTACTTCCTGTTGGACAAGACCTTCCGTCATCAAACCCTGAAACTCTTAAGGTGCAACCAGAACAAAACTGGAAGCACTAAATCCTCCTCGGTCACAGGAAGCAACACCACCAAGGCTGTCCCGCTGGAGGAAGGGAACGTGGCCACAGTTACGGGCCGTCGCCACAGCAGCGTTAAAAAAATCTTGGAGGTGGGCGTATCTGAAGCTTGAGGATTTTTTGCGAGCAACCAATCACATGAATCTCCCGCCCGCGACATACGAAGCAAAAAAGCCCGAAGTAAACTGGATATAAACTCCCCAAACAGGCGAAAACCTACCACTGTCTCTGCCACCTCCCTCCATGCCTGGCTCCTCCGGTTTATATCCCGGTAGGTAAATAGGGACGGGTCATAAAGCACCGGGTGATTCCCTACCGCTAATTTCTCCTCCATGTTTTGGAATATGAGGAAATGACCTGCGGTATGTCTCTCCCAGCATACACGCAGTTTGATTGGCTAGAGCTTGAACTGTCAGATTTGCGTACACGGGATTTGATTGGCTGACGCTTCCACCTCAGCCTCAAAAGTTGAACATTGTTCAACTTTGAATCCTCAAAATCCTGAAAATCTCCGCTCACCTGCCCACAAAGCATTTCGGCGAAAAGTGAGGGAAAGTGACGTCACCCCATTCAAAGTGAATGGGCAGAAGCGTTTCAAGATTTTTTAACGCTGCTGTGGAGACGGCCCGTTACAGCGGAAATAAGTCAAGGAAGTGTTTTGTAAATGTTAAAAGATGTACAAGAGGCCCTTCTGAAATAGCCGTGTCAGAGTTGATGCTTTTAAATGTCTCTTATTTTGTCAGAAACCTTAAGAACAATCCCTTTAACATAATATGAAACAGAGGAATCTTTATTTTTGCGAGGGTAAAAACCATATTTAGGCCAGTTTTGCGTGTCAAATTACCAATTATATTATCAAAAAAGTTATTTTTGTTTAATACGTGTCTAATATTTGCAGCTGTATCATGTTTTCATGGTTAGGAAGAGGCATTCATTCAAATATAATGTTTGAAATATTTCAGTTTCTTAAAGGGGACCTATCATGCAAAATGCACTTGTGTACGTCTTTTCTACATGAATATGTGTCCCCGGTGTTCCAGGGAACTCACCAAGTGTCAGAAAACACAACCCTCTCTATTTTCCTCCATACCCAAATCTCTAAAAAAGGGGCTGCAACGGATCTGATAAAAACTGATCCAGATTTGAACACTGTCCTGACGTCAGGACGGTGGCGCTACGGCTATTGGGCCAACTCCACCAATCAGGAGGAGACAGCCACGGCCATTGCCGTTCGAAAGCGCTGGAGACGCTGTAGTACATATGCCAGGCCAGTATATAATCAGGTGTTTTATCTATTCAGTTAAAAAGGAATAATGATAGTGTAGCATGTGTATTAGCTGTAATTAAACTAGTGATGTTCAGAAGAACTAGGGACGACTATTGGAGCTCAATGTGTGTGAAAAACAACACTGAAACAAGGTATGCTTTCCAAAACAAAATATTTGTATTCAAGATATCAACGTTATCACATTCACATGATTATGTTTCTGGGGTTGTGCCCAGTAAAGGCAAAAGACAACAACAACAAAAACTCCCGGGGTAAAGTTCATTAATTTCCGTTCGTTGCGTTAATTTCAGTTCAATCCTATTACACCATGTGGCAGGGAGGGTAGGTTTATTCCAATCTTAGCTCGCCATCAAGGTCCAGGAAAGGTCATCAGGTGCGGCAAGCACCTGGCAAATAAACATATATCCAAACAAAAAACCTGACCGCTGATTGCAGCAATTGTTAACAAAACATGAATCGTTGAGGAATCGTGGAGGGATCACTGTGTGTAGCAACTAGCATCAATGTAGCAACTAGCATCAATGTAGCAACTAGCATCAATGTAGCAACTAGCATCAATGTAGCAACTAGCATCAATGTAGCAACTAGCATCACAAACGCCGACCAGCAAGGGAAACGGAAGTGACCTGGCTGCTATTTATACTGAGCTAGGGGAGCCTGCTAGGATTGACTGTGCAGTGTGTTTTTAACCTGGGTTACAATAGTCTTACGTTTGCATGGTGTGTTTGCTTTATAGCAGCTAATGAAACTGGAGTATAATGCTTTGTAATACAGTACATTAATGACATTGAGATATAAGCCTTTACGCCTTTTGGATATTGTCCTATCACAAGATGGCATAAGTGTTTATCTTTCCTGGTTTGAAGACTGTTTTTAAGACAAGTTATGTATTTTTTGCTTTTTGTAATATTTCATTTAGCAGCAAGTGTCAACCTTAACATATCGATAAAGGTTTTTAGTTTTTAAACATGGGGATATTTGATGTACTACATATCTCCGTACCCTACTGAAATCAACCTAATGTTGTTTGTAGCTGAATATGAATGACAATTGATCTAATCATGCAAAAAACTATTTTTAAACATATTGAACTGAACCTAAAGGACCATCAATAAAAAGACTGAGTTACATTTTAAAGTGCAATTTTGACTTTCAACTGAGTCGATAAATCAGAGTTTTTAAGGTGTTTTTATCGACATTGCAAACATGGTATAAAAAGCCTCAGGGTAAATCTATGGATGTCCTTTTGAAGAATACAAGGCGTGTTCGTGGAGCAGCCGTCATGTGCAGCGGGAGTCTTTCAATATTTAATATCCATGTGTCGTAAACCTTGTTCGGTAATTGAGTCTGCATTATTGAAGAGGGATTACAGAGTGTGTGTGTTTCAGAAGGTGTGTGTGAGGCGGCAGGAGACTATGTACTGTGAAGTAAGTGTGTGTGTGTGTGTGTGTGTGTGTGTGTGTGTGTGTGTGTGTGTGTGTGTGTGTGCATCATGTCTTTAAGTGTGTGTCTGCATCATTTCTTTAAATGTGTGTGTGCGTGTGTGTGTATGTGTGCATCATGTATGTAAATGAGTGTGTGTGTGTGTGTGTGTGCATCATGTATGTAAATCAGTGTGTGTGCGTGTGTGTGTGTATGTGTGCATCATGTATGTAAATGAGTGTGTGTGTGTGTGTGTGTGCATCATGTATGTAAATGAGTGTGTGTGCGTGTGTGTGTGTATCATGTATGTAAATGAGTGTGTGTGCGTGTGTGTGTGTATGTGTGCATCATGTATATGTGTGTGTGTGTGTGTGTGTGTGTCTGTGTGCATCATGTCTCTAAGTGTGTGTGTGTGTGTGCATCATGTATGTGTGTGTGTGTGTGTGTGTCTGTGTGCATCATGTCTTTAAGTGTGTGTGTGTGTGTGTGTGTGTGTGTGTGTGTGTGTGTGTGTGTGTGTGTGTGCATCATGTCTCTAAGTGTGTGTGTGTGTGTGTGTGTGTGTATGTGTGTGTGTGTGTGTGTGTGTGTGTGTGTGTGTGTGCATCATGTCTCTAAGTGTGTGTGTGTGTGTGTGTGTGTGTGTGTGTGTGTGTGTGTGTGTGTGTGTGTGTGTGTGTGTGTGCATCATGTCTCTAAGTGTGTGTGTGTGTGTGTGTGTGTGTGTGTGTGTGTGTGTGTGTGTGTGTGTGTGTGCATCCTTGCATGTGTGTTGTTGTGATGCAGATACATAAAGGGTCCCTGAGGTGGCGTTAGTTCCGCTGGTTGTCAGGCTCTCACACACTGACTGATTATTGTCTCTGTGTGTTCGGGCAAAACGAGACGTGAAGGATCGTCTCCGCCAGCAGCAGCTCTCCCAGGAGAGGAGAAAACTGCTCACAGCACTTTTTAAAAAGTGCCCGTCCATCAGGGAAACTTCTTCACACAGTGTGCAGCATCCTGTTTTAAGTGGAGGTTTCACAGAAGCACCCAGCATGCATTAGGGCAGAAGGGCATCCTGTGTGAAGCTTAGCATGTAATATAAATATAAACTCAACTAACAAGTGCTGAATACGTGTTTCACACCCTCACAAGTGTGAGTTCTTGTAAAGGTTAGTTTGAATGTAGGAGGTTGCACAATGCACTAGACCAGGGGTCGGCAAGCCCTGGCACCGTAACCAGTGGCACACTAGGAATAAGTGGAGTAAGTGTGCAAAATATGAACATTTTATTTTCGGATCCTGAACGAGACCGCCACCAGAGCGCGTCTCCCTGTTACCTGCAGAAGGAAGCCATGCACGCAGCGCAGCCCCGCTCTCTTTAACTCCAGGTGACTTTCTCCCGCTTTCCTCCGTGGTGCAGGGCTGATCGTCAAACTGCAGTACCCATAAGGAGCTTTACAAATGCCGCAGTTTTTGCGTGGCTGTGTCTTTAGTTGAAAGCCCAGTGGCGATCTGCTCATCTCTCATTGAAATAATATGCTACAAAGGGGCGGACTAGCCATCTGTGTGTTGAACTTTCCTGTCGGCTCCCAGACCGTAGTCGAGGAGGGCAGAAGCAACAAGCTTCAGGTTCAATAACCCACTTTAGCTTAAATGACTGGAGAGAGGCGAGCTCTTCTTGGGAGGCCGTTGCATTTATTTAGCTGTTCTTCTGTTTCACAAAATACATCACAGACCTCTGTTTTTCTGCTGCCTCGTTTCACTTCCAGAAACATACACACGCTCGCTCACTCTCGCTCTACCTTCCACACACACACATGCACACGCCACACCCCTCTCTCTCTCTCTCTCTTAAAGGGACAGCGATCTCATCTCACTCTGCATGACCCTAATATCATCACATGTGTGTTCTGGAGAATCACAGAACGGACGATCGTCCTTATTATTAAGCCGTTTAAACCAATTATTTAAATGTGTCCGTTATATTCGGCATCATGTAAGTTGCGCTGACAGGTCCACACACTGCTTCCCCGCAGCGAGGCCCCCCCGCCCTCCTGTTGATAGTTCACAAGCGTCGAGCTCCTCTACCCCCCCGTTGATAATTCCCGATCGTCGGCACGCTGATTTTTTGTAATGGCACTTCATATCAAAAAGGTTGCCGACCCCTGCACTAGACGTACGTAGAGTGTAGAAATATCACAAACAATCCATTTAAACTTTAGGAAACACAGGGATTTTAGCCTTTGCAGACCATTTACATGCACAGAAACCTACAGAACTACAGGAAAGGGAGAACCCTAGAAGCATTAAAGGGCCTCTTTAAGGGAGACTTTTGGATCATTTGCAATAGCAGTGTAAGAGGTGATGCCTTTAAATGTCTCCTTTAGTCAGAAACCCAAAGAAAATCACTTTAAAGGTCCCATGTCATGGCCATTTCTACT